GACATTAGTTGTAGATTACCTATCATACAATATTTACTTACTTACTTACGCCTGTTACCCCCAATGGAGCATAGGCCGCCCACCAGTCTTCTTCAACCAACTCTGTCCTGGGCTTCCCTCTCCAGTTCTGTCCAATGTTTGTTCATTCCTCTCATATCTTTCTATATATATATATATATATCGAGATTGCATAAACGTATTATGCAAACGTCATTTTAATTCCTTTTCAAATTAATGACCGTTTTTCGACAATAGACTTATCACATGTTTGTTTTAATTATCTAAATGGATCATAACACGTTGAAAGAGCTCAGGCTATTTGGTAATCAACATGTTAACGATTCCAATTATGAATAGTAAAACAACACATGTGAGCGAACAAGATTATTGTTCGCAATTAGATCGTCATCAGGCTATATCCTCCCTCATATACACAGGAATATTTATGATGGAAAAATGTTAAATCAACTCAGGTAATTCATGAATCAATAATCACAATGAAATAGATTACGTCAATACACACATAATAGGTAAAAGTACAAGTTAACAATAGGAGGACACGTGTACTGATTGTAGTAAGAATAAGAAAATACGATAACATGAATTTCTTCAGTAGTTCAAAGGTGTAGTAGTAGTATGTCAAACGTAGACCAATAAATTGATATTGAAAAATATAAAAATAGAAAGAGGCGAAAAAAAAATTACAAATAGATACAGGAAGTGTATGTAGATTATACCAATGATAACAAAAATAAAATTTCTAAAAATAGATTGTTAAGTTATATCCGGCCACGAAAGAGATAGCTATACCACACACAAATTTCTTATGAACACATAAATTGAAGTTGAATTTTCGGATGCCTATGGCTTCTGCTATATATATATATATATATATATATATATATGTGTATATAGGAGACGGGAATAGAACATCGTTGGGGGGAATGGTGAAGGAATACGATAGATCACTCGAAATAATTCGATTTTATCTAGATTAAGATTGCCATCAAGAATAAATTGCCATGACTGATTTAACATTGTCATATAAATATCCATGTATATTTGAGTATAAAGTCTGATGACGATCTAATTGAAAACATAACTATTATTAGTTTATATGTACTGATCTAATCTACTTATTATTTCTCATTTTTACCATTTGTACAATGATGTTCTGGATTCAACTGTAAAATCGTGCACGGAGGACAGCTAACAGACTCGTTCGAGTTGAAGACCGTTGTCAGGCAAGGTTGCTTACTCTCACCCTTTCTCTTTCTCCTGGTCATCGACTGGATTATGAAGACGTCGAGATCTGGATGGAAGCACTGTATTAAATGGACAGCCAGCATGCAGATGCATGATCTGGACTTCGCAGATAACCTGGCTCTTCTATCTCACACGCAACAAGAAGTGCAATAGAAGACGACCAGTGTAGCAGCAGCCTCTGCAGCAGTAGGTCTCAACATACATAAAGGAAAAAGCAAAATTCCCCGATGCAACACAACATGCACCAACCGAATCACGCTTGATGGAGATACCTTGAAGGACGTTAACACTCTTACATATCTGAGCAGCATCATCGACGAGAAAGGTGGATCCGATGCAGATGTGAGGGCATGGATTGGCAAAGCAAGGGCTGCATTTCTACAAATGAAAAATATCTGGAACTCCAAAAAAATATCAACCAACACCAAAATCAGAATTTTCAATACAAATGTCAAGTCAGTTCTACTGTATGGAGCGGAAAATTGGAGAACTACAAAAGCCATCATCCAGAAGATACAAGTGTTCCTTAACACTTGTCTACGCAAAATACTTTGTATTCGTTGGTCAGACACCATCAACAACAACCTACTGTGTGAGAGAACAAACCAGATTCTAGCGGTAGAGGAAATCAGGAAGAATCGGTGGAAATTGACAGGACACACACTTCGAAAAGCACCCAACTGCGTCACAAGACAAGCCTTCACATGGAACCCTCAAGGCAAAAGGAAAAGAGAAAAGCCAAGGAACACATTAAGCCGAGAAATAGAAAAAGATATGAGAGGAATGAACAAAAAGTGGACAGAATTGTAGAAGGAAGCCCAGTACAGACAGAGTTGGTTGGAGAAAACTGGTGGGTGGCCTATGCTCCGTTGGGGGTGACAGGCGAAAGTAAGTAAGTACAATGATATTCTAGCTATATTCTTACATGATCATTGTTATTAGTATTTTAAGAGTATAGACAAAATATCAAAATAAGCTGTCGTTCAATTACTAAAAACAATAATCCAATATAATATACCAATAGCAGCAGTACAATCAACAAACTCACAATTTATCAATGAATGATAAATAAGTTTAGAAACATTGTTGTAATAAAAAATAAAAAGACACAAACATCAACAATAAGTGAATCAACTGAATTCACCATAAAGAAGATCATATGCTCAAATGATAAAACTATAAATCAGTAAGTAGTAAATGATACACTCAACATTGTAATCATTCACTACCATCTATCTACCTTATCTTTATAGTACGCATAGTCTAAAGCTAACCAATAACATACATGTTTCATGGCTGCACTGAACTCGAAGTAGGGGCTCATCATTTTACGGGCCTACACTCTGTCTCTGATATTTATAAACAATGAAATATGAAATATGAAATAAATCTTCCCTTCAATTTCCGTATATCATATACTCAGCGTGAATACCGTTTATGCCAAACACGGAATCGGTTGGATGAGATTATTTAAGGCAGTAGTTCGTGCATTCATTTGAGCTGACAAATGTGAGAATGAAAAGTATATGAGTAGGGTGAAGCGAAGCGGAGAAGGCGATTGAGCCAACTGAATGTTATTGGATATGACTAAGTGTTGGGGATGTTAGATCCACAGAACTCGCTTGATAAATATCTTTATTTTTTGGATTTATTTCATGGACCGATCGGCTGGCCTTGAGATTACATTTCCCACCAGAAAAATCCTTGGCTGTGATTGGTTACTGAGTCATTTTAGTGTGTTATTTTTGTGACTGTCCCAACGACGTCTCTATAGAGTATAAATAAACGCAATTTGAGTGATTGGATTGATTGTGTGCTTGTTGAGTGTATGTAGAATACACTTTCTACACTATATCAAGACTTCTTGCTGATACAATCGGGACAATCGGATCACAGTAGCCTACCTGGACACTGGTTCATTGTTTTGTTCTCGTTATTCGACTAAGGTCAACTCGCAAAAGTTTTAAGCATACCTAGAGACAAGCGTAACACGAAGCATGTACGGTCAGGTGAAAAATAGCCAGACATGTGATAAACGAAGTAAGCAGGATACACATAATCGAATAGAAACCACCAAGATAAAAGTGAATAGTTGATAAGGTCAAAAGACGAGTGAATAGTAACTTGGGTCGAATGGATTCAATGAAAGATATCTTAATTACTAATGACTCTCATATGCAGTTCACTGAATAACTAAAAACACTTCTAATGAACAGTATCATCTATATAGGCATCTGTATTTTCTCGATTCGCCAATCATAATGCATGACACTTTCTATTTTTAATCAAATATACCAATATGAAAACACGTTATCAAATATCATCAAATCAGTTAAAACAACAGTGTGGATAGAACACACATTTCAGAAAGTACCCAACTGTTTGTCACAAGCCGATCAGCCCTCAATTAGAATCCTCAAATCCAAAGGAAAAGAAGAAGACCAAAGGACACACTACACCGAATATTTAAACATTTTCAGGAAATATTTTCCATTCAAGAACTATACTCCTTGAATAAAATCTTCGATCCCTAATGTTCTTTATTACCAGTAATCCTTCTACTATCTCCACCACTATGGGATTTGAACTGACAGTGGCGTCTCTGTGCTAATGCTATATGGCAACCGGAACTGATGTACGTACGTAAGTACGAAGTTCCCTGTTGCAACTGACTGACTGACTTTCTTAAAAAAAAACAAAACAAACCCCAACCCTTTTCACATAGAAAAAAAAACATGAAATAAACTAAAATTCGTATTTATTTTGAAAGAAAAAAAAAGGTTGAAATTGTTATTCACTTTGTCATGGTACCTACCCAAAAAACAAACAACAATCTGTTTACATACATACATACATACATACATACAAATATAGCCTAAAATAATAATAATAATCATCATTGTTTCATTGATTTTAATTATCATCTGTTTATTTCAATTTTTTATTGATTATATTCAATGTCTCAGATAAATAAAATAATTTCTTTCTTTCAAAACAGAAGAAAACAGAAAACACAATTGAATTTTGAACTGTGCATAAATTGATGCATCATTCAAGCTGTTGTACTTGTCATTCACATCAATTTGAAATGTACAAAACAATGAATAATTAGATTGAAGCACTATTTGTGTGTGTGTGAAAATAATTTTCATAATGAATAAGCAAATATATGTTGAATATGGCTAAGATTGTTTTGTTTTTTTTTTAAGAATTAGAAACTTGCCAAAGAAAATTATTGAACAGAATGTTCTGTTCAATGTGTACAAAGTTTTAAAAATGTACAATTGTGAAGATCGAATCAGTTGATGTTATTTGTGTCAGCAATAAATAAATAGATGTGTATTGTGTGTGTGTGTTATTGGCAAAAAAAAATGTGTTATGAGGAAGACATGACTGTTTTTCACCAATTTAATTAAACCGCCTTTATTGATATTGACAAATTAAAACAAAATATTTTGAATTATATTTTTTTTTTATTACAAAAATAATAAATACAACTGTTCAAATATCAATTTTATTTATATATATTCATGACACTCGTTACATGCACTTTTATTTTTGTAAATAAAACAAAAAAAAGAAGTTTCTCTAAGTTTCAAAAAAACAAAAAAAGACATTTTTTTTAGAATTTTGTTCAAATTAATTAAATTACAAAGAAGAGATTTTTTGAAAGAAATGAAAATAAATGCACAAATAGAGAAAGAATTTTTTTTCTATACAATATGTACAAATAAGTTGAAATTCCATATTAAAATTGATTTCATTTGCAATCAATTCAATCAGAATAAATCTAATATGGATGTTTATTGAAATCAAAAAAATAGTTTGTGTGTGGGTGTGTGTGTGTTTGAGGGATTGGCATTTTCAAAAATGTTAAAACAATGTCATGTAGTATATCGTTCAAATGTTTCAAGATATTCTAATGCTGTAGCATAACAAAATGCATATTCACTAACAGTTTGTACTAAACCTGGTCTTTGCCATCTTAATAATTTTACAGTTTGAAACATATCAACTACACCTTCAAAACGCATTCGTTCCAAGACTAAAGAAATGGTTAAGAAGACACCGGTTAATCCAGAACCCAAACTGAAAAAAGAAATAAAAAGGATCACCGTGAAAATAATAAGGGGGATTGTGGAATAATGATAAGCAGATAATTAGAATTTGCATTACGGGGTTGTTGTGAAGATTGTTAAGTTTTATTTGAAACCATGAATCGATCAATGTTAGACCACCATTAGAAACCTGGAAGAACTGGACAGCCGTTTCGTCCTGGTATGGGACGCCTACAATACCGAAGGTCCTGGGTTCGAATCCTGCGAGGTGCAGGAGTTGTGGATGCGCACTGCTGATGAGTCCCATACCAAGACGAAACGGCCGTTCAGTGCTTCCAGGTTTCTAATAGTGGTCTAACATTGATCGAATCATGGTTTCAAATAATTAGAATTGATGTAAAATAAAAGATAATTAATGAAACAACTGGACAGCCTACTTTGTATTAGTCCGCAAGACGTAAGTCAATAATGGTTAGAGACGTTGAACGACATGACTCAAAATCGTTTGCAGTGACGCAAGTGCATCCACTTTTTGCGCTCTCTCAAATTTTAACCTTCTGAATTTCTCATCATCTCTATCTTTCTCTTTCTAAATTTATCTCATTGAATTATACTCCTCGAATCTTATCTTTGAACCCTAATCTTCTCTATTACTGTTAATACTTCTACTATCGCTACCACTAGTGGATTTAAACTAACAGTTGCGTCTCTGTGCTAATGCGTATGGCAATCTGAACTGATGTACTTACGTATGAAGTTCCGCGTTGTATCTCTCTGTCTATCTTATCTTAGTATGGGACACTTCAGTGGTTTGTATTTACTTCATCCGTTTCCGCGGAGATGGAACCTAGCCTTAGATTATTTAACCTCTAGATCCAAAAACATACTGGTGTACAAGTCTAAGTGCAAAAACATCATGATGATAAAAAGTGGTTTCATTTATCAATGTAATTAGAATATATCATACTATTGGATCATAGCTAATAACTATCTACATTTTTTGTCTTATTTAGGAACACATCATCTGGATTTGTCTACGTTCCAGTGTTGATGTTCACTGGAGGGCTCGAACCAAGCAATGTTCACCTCAAACAATAACAGCAACAAGAACAATTTATTCTGTACAGCTTATCAAGTTTTGTAATAGTAATATAAAATTGTTGACTATAAGAATAGTTCATCGCTTTCTAAAATTGTTATTGATTGTAGGAAGAATTTATTGAATTGTATTTTATAGGTATACTTTATATGAATATTAGTCAATGCAGATTGAAAACTGTGAGCAACTGAATAGTTCCTTTTTCTTTTTAACCTACACAACAGTGTGTTTGGAAATTAGAAATGTATTTCTATCAGGGTATTCATTCAATATCCTAAGATTATTGTTTGTAAGTCGAATTCCATTGGTCAATTCCTATTGGTGAATTCCTACTGGTTAATTTTATGGTCGTCCTAACTATCAATGTGACAGACTTCAATGTTGTTTCCTCTTCCACCTAACTGTATAAATACACATTATCTGTAACGTTTCATAACTCCGAACCAGGACCCGAATTTCTAGTCCGGGATCTGATTCTCTTCTGAACTCGGACCTCATAATTTCTGGATGCTTGTAGAATACATGTCCTACTTCATATCAAGTCTTGTTCTTTCACTCAATGGGGGGTTAAGACAATCGGATTAGAGTAGCCTGTCGTGTAGCCGGATCCTCGATCCCCGCTCTCGTTTTCCGACTAAGGTAAACTCGTAATGGTTCAAGCATATCAAATTGACCTGTTTACGTGCATGCGTAACAATTTAATTGACTGCCAAATCAATAGTCCCGAGATTAATCACATACTGCTAGACTAACTTTGATCAATCCACTGTCCTTCAAATTATCAGGTGCTCACAAATGAAGGCAAGCACTTAATTATCTACAAAGATAATGATTATTTTAATTCTACTGATAAATCCATCAATGTATCGTCTCGTAGCTTTTGATGAATATCAGGTTTATGATAAAACGATAACATAAAACCTACTTGCAATGAACAGTGATTGGTCCATCTATACCAAAATGTTCTTTGGTTTTATGTACTTGACTAATTAATTCAAGCATTGATTCACATATTGGTTGATAACATTGTCTAAATGTTGATATCATATGAGTTGGTATTTGATTAAATTTAAGAAAATCATTTTCAGTAAATGATGTTTCTAAAATTGACGATGGATTGGATGGAAATGATATAGTTGCTGATGGTGTCATTGTTGTATTGATTGGAGTTGTTGTTGTGGTTGTGGTGGTTGATGTTGCTGCCGCAGTTATCGATCGAGACGATTCAATGAATTCGTTAAAATCAGATTTATTATTTGTCGGATAATAAGTTTGTCTTTCCAAACGAATTAATGCATCCGCTGTTGAACTTGCATCAAATTGACGTACAGTTCGTGTGGAACCATCACGTGTATCAGTTAAACGTAATTCACGCATAATATAAGCTGACATTGGATAAATAGCGATTGGATCAATCACAAGGAAACCATGACGTGCAGATTGTAAACTTGGCCAATATGTTGGCTATCAATAGGTAAATAAGTTGAATGTTTAAATATATTACTCATAGAAATAAACATGTTTGTTTTAATCATACTTGTACGATTTTAACTGTACAATAGGGAGAATGAATTAGGTCCTCCCCTAAATATTCCGAATTTTACACAGTTAATTTTGTTCTTAATTGTTTATTCTAATAATTCCTAAATTGATTTCCAAGTCAACTTTCCTACTGATCAGTGATTTACCGACAATCTGAATGAACGACAGTTTGTTACTATGAAAAATGTAGTTATCTGACTATTTAAAACGCTTTACTTTCAATCACTGGAAGGTCATTTTCGAAACAAAATAGTATAGTTATTCCTTTACGCGTTTTGCGAATCAAGCACCAAATGAATCAGTACATATTGAGACAACGTTTCATAATTTTCCCTGTAAATTACAAAATATGCCGTAGTGTTACTTATGAGTAGTTAATATTTTTATACATCATATTCTTGTCGTATTCCGTCGAGGTGGTTAATTGTTAGGAAGCTAAATAACAAACATTCATTTATCTATTTTCAACTAGGTTATTATTAATTCATGTGTATGTGTGTTCAATATTGAACATTTTATTTTACAGCAACTTGAATATAACTTTGTACATTAAATGAATTCTCTTAATTAATATTTTCTGAAATTCTATCCGTCACTGATTTCTAACATTTCCAACATCCAGGCCGCGCAAAATGTGTAGATTGATCAGAATTAGACATGAACACCGTTGAATGCCGGCCAAGTGCTCCAGAGGTTGGGCGCTTGCGCGCAAGACTGAAGGTTCTATGTTGACATCCTGCTAGGTGCAGGAGTCGTGGATGAGCACTGCTGATGAGTTGTATACCAGAACGAAACGGCTGTCCAGTGCTTCCATGTTTCTAATGGTTGTCTAACAATGATTGATTGGCGATTTCAATGTACAAAAAACATGAATCTATCAATAATGTTTTCTTATTTTTAAACATAAAAAAAACTTACAGAGTCCATGAATTTCAAATCATTCGATTCCAATGTACTGTCTAATTTAACAATCAAACATGAACCAGACTCCCATATCATACGCCAAAAATCTTCCAAAGTATTAATCATTGGTGTTTGTGTTGCTATATAACCAGCACGTGATTTATAACCATCAATATAACTCGCATTGATATAATCTGAACCATCGACACCGCGAACAGCACGTAGTGCAACCCGATTTGCATCATGTGGTATAATACTAAGACTACGATTTTTTGATAAATTAACCTGGAAAATGCATATTTTTTTCAAAAGATAAGTAATCAGTTTCCTTATTTTTCAGCAAACATTATTTCAGGATAATGAAAATAATAGAAGCTTTTAAACACGAAAACAATACACCATCATGATTTTAAACAAGAACCAACTAGTAGACGTTCAATGTATTCATTCAATACCTGTTAATGTCACAAATAAGAGTAAGTGATGTAGACTGTCATGAAATTGAATATCAGCGACTTGTACGACTTATGTTTTGTACGTCTGTTACTATTTATTGAAATCAAAATTTGACTGGTTAAGTTTAACTCATGTTCATTATACTGTGGTCTGTGCTACTTACACGAACGATATAAGTAGTATAAGAAGGGACGTGAAAGGAGAACTCTCACGGTCACTAGAAGAAAACGAAAACATTACATTGAACACTCTATTTGCACACCATCTTTGAGTCCTGACTTCCAACACTCCAGCCTTCTTCCATTCCTGCTGTTGGTTCCTTTACTTCCTGTCGGTACTCCATTTACTTTTTGCTTTTGCTCCATTTGCTCTCCGTTTTCCTCTTGTGACCGTGAGAGTTCTTCTTTCACGTCCCTTCTTATACTACTTATATCGTTCTTATAAGTAGCACACACCACAATACCTCTATTTACAGTTGATACATAATTTTCTGGTTGTATACAAAACTTCATCTGTAATTAACAAGTTACATGTTGAAAACGATTGGATTTATTTTAGTATAAGTGAGTTCTTTGAGGTAGATAGTTTTATCGTAGAACTTTCATTGTCACGATAATTTCATGTGGAACAAAGAACCTATTAACTATACAAAAAGTCTTAATAAATATGTTTGTATTGTTGGCCAAGCATCATTCAAAAAGAATTGAATACAAACACACTAAAACATTCTCACCACACTGAAAAGGCAAGCAACTTCTCTGTTGTCTCTCTCTTTAAAAAAATAACCACTTTATCAAGTTTATTGATCAAAATCAACTTCGTTAACCAGGTAATGGATAATGCTGCCATATGTAAAGAACATCTAAGAAATCATCACAAGGACTTTAAATCTCCTTTTGGAGTCAATGTCGGTAGTGAAACAACACGATCACTACAGTCTATATCCTCTGCCGAATACAATGTATCGTCCGACACAAACTCTACAGTAGACACTTTTCCGACCTACACCTACATTAAAACACAAACTATAGACGAAATAATATCAGGGGATGTTGAAAACGACAACACAACATGCACCAACCAAATCACTCTTGATGGAGATGCCTTGGAGGACGTTACCACCTTTACATATCTTGGCAGCATCATCGACAATCATGGTGGATCCGATGCAGATGTGAGGGCGCGGATTGGCAAAGCAAGGGCTGCATTTCTACAGTTGAAAAATATCTGGAAATCCAAACAACTTTCAATAAAAACCAAAATCAGCATTTTCCATACAAATGTCAAGACAGTTCTACTTGAATGGAGCGGAAACGTGGAGAACTACGAAAGTCATCATCCAGAAGATACAAGTGTTTATTAACAGTTGTCTACGCAAAATACTTCGGATTCGTTGGCCAGACACCATCAGCAACAACTTACTGTGTGAGAGAACAAACCAGATTGTAGTGGAGGAGGAAATCAGGAAGAAGTGATGGAATTGGATAGGACACACACACTATGAAAAGCACCTAACTGCGTCACGAGACAAGCCCTCACATGGAACCCTCAAGGCAAAAGGAAATGAGGAAGGCCAAGGAACATAATACTCCGAGAAATAGAGAAAGATATGAGAAGAATGAACAAACATTGGACAGAATTGGAGAGGGAAGCACAGGACAGAGTTGGTTGGAGAAAATTGGTGGGCGACCTATGCTCCATTGGGGGTGACAGGCGTAAGTAAGTAAGTAAGTATGTTGAAAACGAAGAGAACGCTAAAATTCTGGATTATGTATATATCAAGCATGTCAGAGAATGTCTCTGCAAGCGCAGCAACAATCATGAATCAATAGATACACTGAATTAGATTCAATCTATCAGTCTATTTGTAAAAGACCAGGTAATCGTACGTCCAAAGATCAATAGAAATACATACTTACTCTAGCATGATCAAAAAATCACAGTCGAAACTAATCAGAACATACTGATTTGACACTTGTGAAATAATTAATTAAGAAATCGAAAACACTTAAATCAACATTCATTCATCATTCAATTCCACTCAACAAATGTAAATCTTTCACAATCATTCACTTACTGGTAACATTGCTGCAATCGATTTATTAGTGCATAGACCACCAATTGATCTAGGCAATTGTGATGATATATTTGTGCAACCAATATTATTGTTACTATTATTATTATTATAATTATTACAAATTACATTGCCATAAATTTTTTCATTTGTTTTCAATGAGAATGGATCAATTGGGGATAATAGACCGATAGAAGATGGAATAGAAGAGATTAATTTTGTTAAATTCGACTGAATCAATAATTGATAGAATTCTAATTCTAAACCTGTTGATATATGCGAACTGGTGGTATTATTCATGGAAGTTTTCATTAATCCCAAATTTAATTGATCAGAATTCATAAGATCTTGACATTTCAATCGATTCAAATCGGTCAATCGATGCCAATGGGTGTTGAGTTGATGCACCGGGATTTCGGTATTGCCACTAGAGGCAGCTTCTACAAGAGCTTCATAAATAAATGCATATTGATCTTCAGTTTGTACCATAAAATTACGTTGTGCCCTAAGACGACTCACTGTGTTGAATACATCGACAGCTTTTTCATGACGCATTTGTTCTAATAGAATATCAAGTAGTATGAAAGCACCTGTTTAAGAAATAAATGAAAAGAAAAGAGACATTGAAAATGGCGAATTAGTTTTGAAGTTTATTTGAATTTCAGTTTGTAATAAAATGTCATTTTTAATATTTTTCCGATTATTTCCTTGTTTGTATTTTGACTGAAACACGATCTCAAGTTTACATGGAATCAATGAAATATGCCTAGCAGTGGAATCGATCACTTAGGTTTCGTCTTATTCTAGGCTCATCAGTTGGATACATTTGCATCCTAGAATTGATTTTCATTCCAGCATGCGAAATGTCAATAATGGCATAATTCAAATCATTGAAATTCACACCCCTATTGTATAAATTATTGATTATTTGAACTTAGTAGCTAGATGCGTAATGTGTTGGCCTTTTTGAAGCATAAAGCTGCTGGCATCGAATTTAGGTATATTTATCTGACGAGACCAGAATTATCTGAACTTTGTAGCTTGACGTGTAACGTGTTAACGTTTGAAGCATAAAGGTGCTGGCATTGAATCCCAGATTGAATATCTGCTCTCGAATTCAAGTATATCCATCTGACAAGACCAGAAAAGGTTGAAATGACATCTTGGACTATACTGCTAGCTACTATATTTCATCTATTCATTATCACATAGACTATACAGGAGAGAGAATTAGATTAGTAAAGTGAATGCTAATAGAAATCGAATGTTCTTCTCTAATATTTCAATTCTAATCATTATTAACAATGAGTATTGTTAGCAAACGATACATATTTATTCATTTGAAATCATCAAACAATCATTCTAAGACCACCATTAGAAACCTAAGAAAGCACTGGACGGGCATTTCGTCCTGGTATGAGACTGATCAGTGACAGTGCTCATCCACGACTCCTGCACCTCGCAGGATTCGAACCCTGGACCTTCGGTATTGTGCGCGAACGCCTAACCATAGGACCAACAATAAAATCAATACGAAATCATACATTCATCCATTCAACCTTTAATTATACTAGATAATTTGAGTTTTCAGCTGTAGTCAATGATGATGTCACTCACTTACAAGTTGTTTAACAGAGATCATTCAACTCTTAATGATGAGTACAGATTTTTCCAAATTATGAAAAATATTTGAAGCTAATAGATTTCATTTATAAGCATTCAAAGAAAATCTGTCTATTTATAGCTGCTGTTCTGTCTTTAACAATCACAGGTATTTATTAGTGACTTGATAATTAAGGCGTTCAACATCCAACTATTATATTCCGATTTCAAGCCATGCTTTGTCTAATTCGATAACAACTTTTCAATTAGATTTTTATGGAGACTATTGCTTTTACACATGTGAAATCATCAATCAATCATTGTTAGACCGCCATTAGAAACCTGGAAACACTGGAAAGGCGTTTCGTCCTGGTGTGTGGGACTTATCAGCAGTGCGCATCCATGACTCCTGCACCTTGCAGGATTCGAACCCGGGACTTAGGGTCTTGCGTTATCCAGTGCTTCCAGGTTTCTAATGGTGGTCTAACAATGATGGGTTCATGATTTTTATGTGTAATTCGATTACAGCAACTAAAAATTACGTTTAGTTCTCGCATTCAAAACGTGGTTCAGAGGAATTTGTACGTGATTGATGCTTTAATAAGTACAAACAAATATTTAAATGGCTAGAAAAATAAATCCACTCCAATGTGTGTGTTGCGCAACTCCGTGAATTGATCAAGTTAGACATTAACACCGTTAGATATCAGCTCAGTGGTTCAGAGGTTAAGCGTTGGAGCACAATACCGAAGGTCTTGTGTTCGAATCCGGTGGGGTGCAGGGGCCGTGGGTGCGCACTGCTGGAGTCCCATACCAGGACAAAACGGCCGTCCAGTGCTTTCAGGTTTCTAATAGTGGTCTAAGATTGATCGATTCATGGTTTCAAAAATATGTAAATTAACACTCTTTACAACCCCATAATGCAGATTATTATTTAACAAGTGTATATCTGGTTAGATTGATCACAATGTTTTGTGCATATATCTATGTATCATATAGTTTTAACAACTTGTATTATACAACTTAAAATACATAACTCATTCAAAGTTATTATTATTTTTTATTATTTTTATTTAAAGTATTACCTGTTCTTCCAACACCTGCAGAACAATGTACAATGATTGGACCAGAATCTGTTGGGCATTCAGCTCGAACACGTCTTAAAAACATTAATAATGGTGCCGGATGATTCGGTACACCATGATCTGGCCATGCAGTAAATTGCAGTTGTCTTACTTCTCTAGTTTCTAATGATCTATAGGTTTTATGCGAAAATAAAAAAACGAAAAGATATTTAATGTAAACTCGACTATTTCGTTTCAGACATGTTGAAGCAAGTCAAATCAGTTTCCACTTAACTACCTGCTGAGATTAATTATCTATATGATTAATTCTTCTTGACGTGAGCTCTCTTGTCTAACTGATTTGGACCAGTTAGTTAAGAATTGTCTATATAGATTTTAAAGAGTACTTTATAATTTGTAGAAATAAAATAAACCAACTGATAATATCATCCTAGTCATTGATAGCTTTCTGCTAACCTACTCCTACACCATAAAACATAGTTCGTCGATGCAGTCGCTGCTTGGGCATGCGTAACACATGTCCCAACCACCTCAACTGATGAGGCTTCACTAGTTCGTCTATTGACCTGCCATCCTTACTTAGTACTAGTTTCCTAACAACAGCATCGCTTACTCGGTTGTCCCAGGATAAACAAGCAATACTTCGAAGACATCTATAAGCGAATACTGATAACCTACGAATATCTTCTTCTCTGACTGGCCATGTTTCACAGCCATATAGTAGCACAAAGCAAACTGCTGTGCAGCACACTCGTCCTTTGGTTAGCAAACGGACATCTCGCCTACGCCATAAGTGACGCAGGTTCGCAAAAGCCAATCGAGCCTTCTGTATCCGTACTGAGATTTCGTCAGTCACCAGGCCATCAGCACTGATGAGACTCCCAAGATAAGTGAAGCAGTCAACACACTCAACCGCTTCACTCCCTATCACTAGTTCACGTGCCAATATAAACCAAACTTGAAGCAACATTTTACATTTCGACAGGGGAGAACCGCATCCCGAACATGTTTGCGTTGTTGCTTATGGTAGTCAGAAGACTCTGCATTTTATCAGCGTCTTCATAGGGATACTCTAATTTAACAATAGAGTCTCCTAATAGAATGTCGACCCCTGAAATGTCAGTTGAAGATAATTTTAACTCTAAAAGTACGACTATGACAAACTTAAACAAGAGTGGAGGAAGTGGATAGCCCTGATGGACACCACTTGAAGTAATGAATCCCGATTATGTATGTGAAATGGTAATGATCAACTGTCTGCAATCCTTTCAATCGTTTGAACAGTACAAAATAATTACCTGTCATTAATGTATGAATATACACTTACATATCAATTTACTTCTGTTTAGTCAAGTTATAGCATGAAAATCACACTGTATTGAACTGTTAATCAATTAGTTTCAATTACGAATTATTTTATTTTTGTAAGTGTTGGGGATGTTAGATCCCCAGAACTCGCTTGATAAATGCCTTATTTTGGATTTCAAGTTTGCGAGCATGGGCTGATCAGTTGATCTTGAGATTTCATTTCCCACCAGCAAAATCCATGGCTGTGATTGGCTGCTGTGTATTTTAGTGTGCTATTTTCGTAACTGTCACAAGGATGTTTCTATGATGTATAAATAAAGGAGAGTTGTGTGTTTGATTGTATTGTGTGATTGCTGGGTGTTGTAGAATATACTTTCTACGCTTACCAAGTCTTCTGTCTTGCAGTTCGGGATTCAAGGTAGCCTACCTGGACACTGGTAATTGTCTCGTTCGCGTTTATCGACTAAGGTGAACTCATAATAGCTTCAAGCGTACTAAGTGACGAACATAACAGTAAGATTTGTGTAAGTTTTGAATCCAATCAGTTCTACATAGTTGACGGTATACATCTTCCGAATTCTTTTCATCTTATTTCATGTAAAATAATTAAACTTAGAGGATTAGCAAAAAGTATTTATCAATCAATAATCTATAAAAGAACACTACACAGTTAGTTTGTAACAGCTATTCAACACAATGTCTAAGAACTAACCCAGTTATTCACTGATCAATATAACTAGTGATAAACGGATAATCAACAGAAATGATTAAAGCTAGAAAAATATTTCGAAAATATTTTCTCGATTTTCTTACCCAATTTTTTGTAGAACAAATGAACGAACAGTATAATAAGCCAATTCTATTGTATCTAATAAACTGACAGATATTTCACCAAAATTAATTGTACCTAAATGAATTGAAATAAATATGTTATGTAATAATAAATATTTTATGTAATAATAAACAGAGGTTAATAATAAAAATTACAAGAAGATTTTAATAAAGTTACAATATTTCAATCTACCATATTTTAACAGTTGTTAATAGATATATTACTTAAATACACTAACTTCACCTACTTTAGCCTGTTACTCACAATGGAACAAAGGCCGCCAACCAGAATTCTCCAACCTACTTAGTCTTGAACCTTCCTTCCTAGTTCTCTCCAACTTTTGTTCATTCTTCTAAATTCTGGCTCCATTTCTCGGCATAGTGCGCTTTCTTTTCCTTTGGCCCTGAGGATTTCAAGTAACGGCTCGTTTTGTGACGCATTTGAGTGTGTTCCACCAGCGCTTCCTTCTGATTCCTTCCTCCACTTGAGTCTGGTTTGTTCTCTCCCACAGTAGGTTAGTGCTGATGGTGTCTGGTCAGCGGATCCGAAGTATTTTGCGTAGACAACTGTTCATAAACACTTGTATCTTATGGATGATTGCTTTCGTAGTTCTCCAAGTTTCCGTCCTATACAGTAAGAAATGTCTTGAAATTTGTATTGAAAATTCTGATTTTGGTGTTGGTTTAAAGTTGTTTTAAATTCCAGGTTTTTCTCAATTGCGGAAATGTTGTCCTTGCTTTGCCGATCCGTGCTCACCAATGACGCTGTCCAAATGTGTAGAGGTTTCCAGATCCTCCTGAGCTCAAGTGCGATTTGGTTGGTGCATGTTGTATTTTATCGGACAATCTTGCTTTTCTCTTTATGTATGTATGTTGAGACCTGCTGCCACACTGGTTGTCTTCTCTTACGTTTGTTGTTGCGTGTGCGATTGAAAAGTCAGGTCATCTGCGAAGTTCAGATAGTCCAGCTGCATCCTGACTGTCCACTGTATCCCATGCTTTCCTCCAGATGTTGACGTCTTCATAAATCAGTCGATCACAAGGAGAAAGAGAAGAGGTGAGAGTAGGCAACCTTGCCTGACCTTAGTCTTAACTTCAAACAAGTTCGTCAGCTGTCCACCGTGCCTGATCTTGCAGTTTAATCCATCGTAAGAATTCTGTATTATGTTGACTATCTTTTCAGGTACGGTGTAATGTCGAAGAAGCCTCCACAGTATTGTCCTGTCCGCAATATCAAATACTTTCCTGTAGTCAATGAAGTTGATGTAGAATGGTGAATTCAATGCAATTGATTGTTTCATAATGGTCCGTAGTGTTGCAATCTGGTCGGTACACGATCAATCCTTATAAAATCCAGCCTGCTGATCTCGAAGTTGGAGGTCTATGAAGTCCTGTTGAAGACTTTGCCTAGTATTGAAAGAAGAGTGATGTCTCTGTGGTTCTCACACTTGCTGAGATCGTCTTTCTTTGGTATTTTGATCAGGTATCTTTGTTTCCAGTCTGTTGGTACTTAACTACTCTTAATCACTGTCAATGTTTATATTATGTCCTGGCCAATTTGACCCATCCCGCTTATATAACTCTCAAACTATTATAATTAGAAATGGTGATATGCAATACAGCACCTCGATGACCACCAGTTTCAGAGAAATTGTTTACCTTGCAAACCAAATTTGTATATGCACTATTAGCAATACTCACCAAAGTTATGCCAAACTATCTACAATGTTCATCATAACGAACCTCTGATCTCATAAGAAACCTTCAGCTCAATACATAGCCATATAGCTTATGGTATAGGATAGTAAGAGATACAGCCCAACTTGACGCAAATGCGCTCAAACACACTTATTACCCGATCATATGAGACCTGAGTTATACACACACACTTACATCCATACATAGAACACAATGGATTTTAGAACCGATAAAGAAAAAGTCCAAACAAACAGAAATATTCACTTACTTTGAGATAAATGTGAAAGACCATTTGTAAATAATAAATCACCACTGAGCATCATCATATTCTGATCATTATTATTATTATCATCATCATCAACATCAACAACACCATTGTGGAATTCATTCAATGGTTGTTCTATATTGCATTCATCTTTTAAATTTATTGATGTTCTAAAATTTATCGGTGGTAATAAGATGGATTTATCATAGAGTTTCATTTTGAAATCATTCAATTTTTTATTATTAAATGAGGTAGATGAATTTAATCGTGATGATACACTGGGACTTGGTCGACATGATGTTGTCATATTGGTGTTGTTGTTGTTGTTGTGATTATTTAAATTCATATTATTACTACTATTACCATTGATTGTATTACAATTATTGCCTGGCCAATATTGTTCACATTTTATACGTGCTTTCTCTTCAAGACGTGTCATTGATACAATCATACCGGAACGTTGTTCCCATACCATACGCCAGAAATCAGTGATTGTATGAGGTAATGGTCCCTAAAAAGAAATAAGAAATTTAATGTAATTTGTTTTGATTTCTTTTTTTTCTACGATTCCATCCTACCAGTTAATTCACGCATACATTGAGGCTTAACCCAACCCGATTACACATTTGAAATCATCAATCAGTCATTGCTAGACCACCATTATGAAACCTGCAAGCACTGGACGGCCGTCTTGCCCTGGTATGGGACTCATCAGCAGTGCGCATCCACGACTCCTGCATCTCTCAGGATTCAAACCCGGGACCTTCGGTATTGTGCGCGAACGCCTAACCATTGGACCACTAGGCCGGCATCCAACGGTGTTAATGTCTAACTCTAATTGATCTAGGGATTTTGCGCGACCTCACCCATTTGTCTTTGGTAGTTACTGCCTACACCGGGAAGGGTTGAACTCTATTGGTCACGTCTTCTGAACTAGAACTCTGAGAATTTCTTCACGAAGATAGTCACTAGTGAGCAATGTTACGATATTTTGGGGCAGAGTTATGGAGATAAGTGTTTTTTCAGCACATTGAAATCATCTATCAATCATTGTTAGATCACCATTATGAAACCTGGAAGCATTGGATGGCCGTTTCGTCCTCGTATGGGACTCATCAGCAATGTGCATTTACGACTCCCACATCCCACAGGATCATCAATGCTTCATACTTGTCATTATTACTGTTCTATAGGATTATGGAGATGGTTGAGTTTCATTGGGATTATGAATGGGATCAATGTTAGACCTAGAAGTACTGTATCACTGTTCCATTCAGGTAGGCTGGTAGGTTATGTTTAATGAAAAAACAAAACTTTATGTGTGACAATTAGTTAGCAAAAAAACAATAAAAACTCTTACTTGAGTTGCAATATAAGCATTTTGTTTACAATAACCATCTAAATAATTTGCATTGATATAATCTGAATCAGGATCATTATTGCTTCCAGTCAATTGTAAAACAACACGTGAATGATCATAAGCGACAACATTAGCATAACGATTTTTATTTCGATTCGCTGGTCGATTTGAATGTTCCCATGTGAATGGACCACCTGGATCGATTGATTCAAATTCAGCTGCCATTAAACGTCCATTGTCGGCTTTTAAATTTTGTACATGTTCAATTAAATTGGCCACTTGAATTGGTTTATAAATTTGTGGTTTGTCTAATACAAGGGAAGTGTATAAACACACACATACACGTTCAATAGAAGAACAAAGCAGAAGCTAATGTTATCAAATTAAAATAGGTTTTTCCTTTTTCAAAGATTTAAATATTCCTTTTGTGAATGTTTTTTGTAATAAACTTGACCACAATCGAGTGGCGCATTACCTCTATACTACCATCAGATTTGAACAGAGACTATCAGCAGAATCCAGAACGTGGGTTCTGTCTTAATTGGAACTCCTCATCTGAATTCGAACTCAGCATTTAGTGTACTTTAAGACCTCTAGCACACTGACTAAGTAAACTCGTAACAGTAGTATTGTTTTGTAGAAAAAAAATCTTTTGTTCTTACTTCAGATTTAATGTGTGTAACCTACAAATGTATCAGAAATTTTTCAAAACATCCAAATGAAGAAAGTGCTATTTCACAAACTCTAATTAACATTGACAATTTTGTGAATTGGAAGTGTAAGACTTTTCAGATCAGTATGGAAATTGAAGTTATTGGCTGGAATTGGCTGCATGAAGTAATGACTACTCACTACCGTCTAGTACCAAGATAGGATAAAACGATCATATATATATATATATATATATATATATATATATATATATATATATATATATATATATATACATGGTCAAACTTACTAGGGCCAGAATTCAACGGATTTCGACAACGTCCATTACTAATCGGTGATAGCAAGCCACTATCAGTTAAATGAATACCATCTGTCCCAGTTAAAGGTTGTAAACTTTTTGATCCCAATGTACTAACTGATTTTAAACTACCCAATGGACCAATTCCATTCATAGTATTATTATTATTATTACTATTATTAGTTTGACCAGATTTCATACGACCCGATCCATAGAGTAGACTCGGTGATGGTGGTGAGTTCACCACCTGACATGGATGATGATAACTCAACGATATGGAATCAACACGATTCAATCGTGATCCTCCATAATTATTGCCATGATCATTTAAACGATGTAATGTTGTATTCGGTGAATCAGATGCATAATTTGGATTTAATTCACTATGATGTATTGTATTATTAGTATGCTGTAATAAATTGTTAAATTGTTCTGTACTAGAATGATTAATTAAATTTAATGAATTAAAATAATTTTTAATTTCACCATTTGATTGTGAATATAATAAACTATTCTGATTAGTATGATGAGTATGATCAATTGTTGACTGATTATAATCAGGAAATAATAATTCATAAGATTTTGTTGTTAAAGTTGATTGTAAATTTGCTGAAATTGAATTACTACCCGGTGGTGGACTATGCATTTCATTTAAATGATGCAATGAATTTAATATAGTTTGATTAGTGGTTGTTGGCTTATGTGATTTTTTAAATGGGAATCGACGTAACACACCAGTTGTTGGCGTCGTCGTCGTCTTCGTCGTCCAATGATATCGATTTTTCCAATGGACATTTGTTAATGCTTCGCGTTGATCAGTAATTTGATATTTATTCATTTCAGATAAATGTCGTCTTCTGTACAGTATAAATAAGAAACAAATTAATCCGAATATTAACAGCAAGGCAGTTAATGATAAACCAGCAGTTAATAATGTCATTTGTGAATTAGGCGTTTGATTCGATGTGATTGTTGATAAGGGTTGTTTATCTAATAATGATGACTTTTCATCCAATTGATTAAATGGTTTTCTTGAAGTTTTTTGGGATAATTGTTGATTTTTATTATGAATATTATTATTATTATTATTGGGTGATTGACGATTTTCACGTATATTTTTAAATGATTCCATGTTACCAGTTTCTCGACCTGTAATAATGAACAATAAAAAAAATTTTTTTTGGAAATGAATTGAATTTTTGCCAATAAAGTAGAGTTGGATTATGGATAGTAGTGGATTTTGTGACCTTTGTTTTGTTTTATTTGAGAGTGATTATTCAGAATTAAGTATGAACAAAATTAAATCAAAACAATAATTGTCTCCCTCATAGTGAAATCCAGTAAGGCTACTACTACATTACACTGTTTACTGACTTTATGTTGGGGACGTTAGATAACCAGAACTCATTTGATAAAGATCTTAACGTTGGATTTGATGTTTTCGAGCGTGGACTGATCAGTTGACCTTGAGATTACATTTGCCACCAGGAAAATCCTTGACTGTCATTGGCTGATGTGTTATTTTAGTACGCTATACTTGTGGCTCTCCTAAGGACGTTTCTGTCTTGTATAAATAAACTCGATTTGTGTGCTTGTGAACCTCATATTTTCTAGGTACTTGTAGAATATACTTTCTACACCATATAATGACTTCTTCCTCTACTTAGAGGGGCCTTCGGACACTCGGATTAGAGTAGCCTACCGCGACACTGGATCATTTGTCTTCGCTCTCTTTTACCAACTAAGGTGAACTCGTAATAGCATTCAAGCATATCAAATGACTGAGCATATCACTTTACCAATGACAAAAACTGATTTCATTCTCATCTCAAACATATGTTTGAATACAAAAATAAAATTTACCGCCTATAACATTTAAAATGGATTCCTTTCGAAGAATTGTGTATGGACATTCACCCTCATTGCTAAAAAACTGTTCCAAAATATAGAATCATCAAATATTTAAACGCTATCAGAGATTTCCATTGGAAATCTTAACAATAAATCTACAATGTACATAAAGTTTCGGCTGACATTAAACCAACAATGTAGTTTTTTTGCACCTTTAAGGATAAATTTAGACAGCATCACCAGAAATATCAAAAAAGATAATAATGGGTTTAAGTACGATCAAAATTTGTGCCCAATTTGTTCTTGACTAAACTTTTTTCCCGTTTCAGCCTAGTATGAAACTTACTGGCAACGCATATTCACGATCTCACATGAAAGAATTGAACAAAGAATCTTCAGTCTAGCATGTAAACGTTTAAGCTATTGACCACTAAGCCGTCATCCAACGGTGTTAATGTCTAACTTGAATCAATCCACGATTTTGAGCAACACCAACTACTGTGTTGGATAGTTAACTGCTCCTAAATCGACCCGAGTTAACTCGATTGGTTCAGGACAACTTAACCGTCTAATTTTTCCAGATTTCGTATTGCGTAACAATATTTCGGACATATCTGTTGATCTAGTACGAAAAATATTTCATGTTACCGCCAAATACGTATGCGAATCTACACAAGCTGTCAAAGCAGTTACATTGATAGGACCGAAGAAAGTGTCTACATTCGATCCCAAGAACATATCCCAAAAAGTTTTAAGTCAATGATATTGGAGTCCTCAAGTAGTGCTAGTGAAAAGCATCCCCGTGAGACATTTTACCCAGCTGATACATTGAAATCCTTCAGTATCATCAAGCGACAGTCAAATCACTTTCTTCGCAAATCCACTCAAGTCATAACCGTCAAACAACTCAAGCCAGACTTACGTACGCGCAAAAGAAAATAGTTTCAAATCTCTCCTCACTGTGGTAATTGTATCATCAGTCTACTACGGTCTTTCATGGAAAAATTTTCTCTGCGTAATATTTTGATTACATCACTTATTGATTTTTAACTGATTGATCACAACTCTTGATTCATATTGACTACAATATCTATGAATATCTCAATAATCATCAATCCGCTGAAGATTTCAGATACGCTTTATTAATAGACTCTAACTAGTATGAACAGAAAATCATTTAGGAATTCCTATTAACCAAACCCATCAACCTAACGTCTTAACATTGCACAGTTCATGTCAAATCACTTGAACTAACATGATCGATAGAATCCTGACTAGACTCAACAACCAATAAAAGTTCAGCATTAGTCACAGCTACTGATAAAATTTCAAATCAATTAGGTGAAAAGACAATCAAAGAAAAAAAGTAGTTTTTTTCCTTAAAATAGAATTTTTCAAACTTACTAGGTCCTTGAGCGGTAGCATCATCTGATGGAGGTGGACTATGTGCTCCAAATGAACTACTTGACCATAATAATTGATCTGGATCATAGGAATCATTGAGTTGAGAACTGACGGGATCATTCAATGATTCAATGGATGGAGATGGACGATTTGTTGCAACTGGTTGAATCCATTTTGATTCATAACAAATTGGTTCTTGTTTTACACTGTTATCCATCACGCTAAATGAATAGAATTGTTTGTTTGGCTGGAGAAAAAAAATAATACAAAAACAGAAATATTGAACATTGACAATTGAAATGACTCATTGAATTATTCAGCGTGATTATTATTTTGAAGTTGATTAGAGTAAAGGATATTGAAATTTAATGTAAAATTGATCAGATTCATGTGCATGACTGAATTTCGGAATAATTATTTTTACATTTCTGCCCTAAAGTTAAGAGATATCGTCATAAAGTTGGATAGATCTTCAACACCCATGCCATTTACCGTATAAAAACAGTGGCAAAGGTTAAGTATAGAAAAAAAAAGTCTAAGGAGAATTTCAGGTACAGGAAGACAAAGAGCTAAATGCACTCTCACATTTTAAACTATTCTCTAACCAATCGTTACTTGTTAGGATATTCATCAAATATCCTAGAGATTATTTCGTGAGTCCAATTCTATTGGTCGATTCCTACTGGTCAATATTCAAGGTCGTCCTAAACTATCAAGTTCACATACATTTAAATTTTCTTTCTTATTGGTTAGTATTCATGGTCGACCTAACTGTATTAAATATGCATTATCTGTAAAGTTTTATGATCCTCTTCTTCTTCTGTACAAAACCTCATATTTTCTGTGTAGCTTGCAGAATACACTTTCTACGCCATATCAAAACTTTCTGATACAGTTAGTGGGGGGTTTGGGACGTTCGGATTATAGTAAATTATCATGTCAATGGATCACTTGTCTTAGCTCTCGTTTTCCGACTAAGGTGAACCAGTAATAGTTTCAAGCATATCAATTTGACGAGCATAACATTACTACAATATTACGACGTAGACACAGATCAAGTAGTCTAAATCTATCAATACGGCTCAATCCAAATGTCAATTACTTCAAAGATTGATACCACACACACTTTGGTTTCACTGCCATTAACTATCTTCCAGCCTACACCTACACAACAGATAACATCGAGGCAGGCAATGAGTTTCACATAATGTGACACATATTTGTAGCCGTCTCAGGTAATAAATATGTAAAAATCAAGATCAATCTTATTTTTTTCATTCAAACCAATGAATTTTATGAAATCACTGGGATTAAAAAAAAATAAGCTAAAACAACATATGTCTTCATTTACTTGTAAACAAATTTTCACACATAATGCATAATCTTGATTTGTTGGTAATGCTTTGCCAATAAATAATTTTTCCGATTTTTTCACATATCTTAATGTTGTATCCATTAATGGTTGACTTAATTCAATTTGTATAATGGAATCATCTGCTTCACCTGTTGATCGATAATCACGATCACGATGTCGACGATAACGATGATCAGCTGATGATGATGATGTAGATAATTCACTAGAATTCCATTGGCCTAATTTTAATTGTTCAGCAATTTGTATATTATGATTAGGTATTGGTAATTGATATGCAATTAACTCATAGGTTATCAATGGATCTTGATGCGGTGGCGATGACATTGGGAACCAATTGATTAATTTTAAACCAATTAGAAAATAATTTGTTTTATCAATGAATGGATTCATTAGGATAATAGGCATTGGAACATGAAACATATCTGAAGTGTTAGAACAGAAAAAAAAAGTAGAATAAAATAAAGGTAAAATGAACAAAAAAGTTGAAATGGTCACTTTTATTTCTACTGGGTTTCACAATGTTCAAAAACATACATTTCTTGAAAAATTTGAAAGTTATGCATTGTGTTTTAGGTTAGAGTTGTGAATATTCACTGTTAAGGATTCGTTATACTAAGATGCAATAACTTATCTGCTTACTTACTTACGCCTGTTACCCCCCTTGGAGCATTGGCAGCCGACCAGCATTCTCTAACCTACTCTGTCCGGAACCTTACTTTCTAGGTCTGTCAAATTTTTATTCATTCTTCTCATATCTGTCTCAGTTTCTCGGCGTAATGTGTTCCTTGGCCTTGCTCTTTTCCTCTGACCTTGAGGGTTCCAAGTAGGGGCTTTCCTCAATGTATATCCCATCTACTTCCAGCACTTCTTCCTGACTTCTCACTCCAGTGGAATCTGGTTTGTTCTCTCCCACAGTAGGTTAGTACTGATGGTGTCTGGTCAGCGAATCCGAATTACTTTGCGTAGACAACTTTTGATAAATATTTATATCTACCGAATGATGGCTTTCTTAGTTCTCCAAGTTCCCCGCCCCATACAGTAGAACTGTCTTGATGTCTGTATTGAAAGTTGTGGCTTTGGTGTTGGTTGAGTTGAAGAAGTTCTTCGATTGTAGAAATGCTGTTCTTGCTTTGCCGATCCGCGCCTTCACATCTGCATCAGATCCATCTTATCTATCAGCGACGCTGCCCAGATATATAAAGGTTTTTAAGTCCTCCAATGCATCCCCTCAAAAATGATATGGTTGGCACATGTTGTGTTATATCGAAGGATCTTGTTTTTTCCCTTTGTGCATGCTGATACCTACTGCTTCTGAGGCTGTTGCTGTAGTGGTCGGCTTCTCTTGCACGCATTTTAAGATTTATCCAATGATATATTTTATTGGTACTCAAGCTATCAACGCTATGAAATCTATTATTTTCAATTTAGAACTTTCTGTCAATACGTAACGTAATATCTCTGTTTTTATTAAATCACTTATCACTTATAGATTTATGACTGTTGACGTTATGAACTATAGTGGAGATATGAAGGCTAGTGTGATACTGTTTGTATTATGCTCGTCTCCAGGTATGCTTAAAACTATTACGAGTTCGCCTTAGTCGATAAACGAGAAAAAAACAATGAACCAGAGTCCAGGTAGGCTACTCTGATTCCTTGACCAAATTGTACCATCAAGAAGTCTTGAATTAGCGTAGAAAGTGTATTCTACAAACACCCAGCAAGCACACAATCAACCCAAGCACTCAAATCGCGTTTATTTATACTCCATAGAGACGTTCTTGGGACAGTCAAAAAAATAACACACTAAAATGACACAGTAACTAATCACAGCCAAGGATTTTAGTTGTGGGAAATGTGATCTCAAGGTCAACTGATTGGCCCATGAAATAAATCCAAAATAAAGATATTTATGAAGCGAGTTCTGAGGATCTGACATCCCCAATAGTTTGGTTAAGCAAAACAAAATAAGTGAACACGGATTCAAATGTGTGGCATAATGACTGGAAGTAAAAGGCCTACTACTAGTACTCAGCCAATTCGCTTACTTATTATACTATATATATTTATATATATCTGTTATTGAACATCTCAAACTGAATAAAGTTTGATATATATACCGATTAGTGTTTATTTTGAGAAATGAACCACTCTGGCTCTGATCCCTGATAAAGTCGTTGGATATACACTACTGAGAAATCCTATACCTATGAAAGAAAATGTCCAGTACTTCTTGGTATTTCATTTCGTGTTTGTGATTTAAACTATAAAAACCAGATGAAAACCTAATTATCAAGTTTGATTCCTGTAAAGAACTGCAAAAAAAAAATAAAAGACAATGCTATGCTCAATAAAGAAACTTACTGCTTCTTGGTATATAGCATAAATTATTTTCCAATATACCATAGGGTCGTTTAACCGATGGATCTGTATCCGTTTGAGTTGTGCTCCCTTTAAAAACTGGTCGAATAGATATAGCATAAATTGAATCAGATTCCGTTGTATACAACCAATTATGTAGAATGAATTGATTTTTATGCAAATCTAATTTATTCAAAGATAACTCACGATTTACTACTGATATTTTATGAGTAGTATGTTTTGCAGTTGATTTAATCATTGTATAATTAATCTGTGAACAAAAAGAAATGAAAACAGATTTTCAATATAGGATCGTATCGAAGCTAGGTAACCGCCAAAAACCTAAAAACATTGAACGGTTCAACTAAATGCATGCAAAACCATAGGTGTCAGGTTCAATTCTCAAATGTCAGATCATGGATTCACATCCTGTTGAAGAGTCCTTTTAGTTGTCTAACTATCATCGGTTCTGACTGTACATTCATTGGTTACAATTGGTTTTAGCATTATATTTCTCGTGTTTGTGTTTGTAATGCAACTGGTTTTATTTCCCCACGTTTACCGCTCTTCGGTACTTTTCTCTCCTCTCTGAATTCGCTGAGGTGTGGCGTAATCATCCCAGTCCCAAAATCCGTTATGCACAGTCGACTATTCTTTTTACCACAGTTATTAATTTATTGGTAAATTGATCAAGCAGGACAACAAGTAGCAAGTACTCATTGATTTTCAATTATTATAATTATACACTACAAATAACTGATTTTGTTCTGATGATTACAATGAAAATATTTTAAAAATTTAACCAACCAACTAACTAACTCGATAATGAGAAAGTTGATCAAAATATAGTCCAGTTTGTAATTGTTTTGGAACTTCCCATTTTAATTTTATTTGCCATAAATCTGTTTGATAACGATAAAGCAAGCGACATTTGGAATTGTAAACTTTCATTGGTAAATTTGTATTGGTTGGTTTGATTCGTTCTGTTAACACTGGTTCTGACCATTTACTTTCATGTTCATTGATGCCTACTGAACTAACTCGTACTAAATAAGTAGATTCTTCGTCATAATCATTCTAAAAATAAAAAATTAATAAGGAAAAGAATGAAAACAAAACTGATAATATTGAATCGTAAGACATGTGTCTAGCATTCATTGTTTTTCTCGATATTACTTGATGGGTTGAGATAATACTTCTTTACTCCATAACAAACTACTTTAGTAAAAACTAGTAGTAACGTTATTTAAATGAAAAAACTCAGTTAGTCCAAAGGTCATAAATTTGTCCGGTTAGTTTTCAGCTTTACTTTTATCGAATCTATTATGATCGGTACTTCTTTGTTTATCGCCTGCTTATGCAGTATAAATAAGGTATCCTTAATAAATTAGTGTCTCCTTTAAGTGAGTTGCTTGTACTGACTGGAATTGTGCACTTTGATTGTGAATTGAAGCACTCTTCCGGAATAGGAAACACTCTGTTTTAGAAAACAAACAAATGTTATCTGTTGAATGAATCTGATCTGTCCGGGAGGGATAGAATAACATTTGTTTGTTCCTGTTGATTTCAATAATTGGACAATTGTTGGTGGAATAACTGAGTGGTAATATTGTTTAGGTAATAATATATATCCATATTTATGATTGATATTAGAACCGTTATTCACCCAAAAATGTTGGTCTGAATTTCAACTGGGCAAGACGCGTGTCTAAACTTCCTTGAGAGTTATTCCTCAGTCCAAACCTCAGCTACAAACAGGTAGCTGATGTTGAATACAGAATGATGGGATTTCTACTCAATCAATTGCGTTCATGGTCTGATTAGCCACTGGGATAGAAACGAGCTTATTTGACTGTTATAGGTTGAGAATTAGCACTCAATTATTCACGAAAGTTTGTTTTCTCCGAAATTATACGATCCGGTCACATGAGTTCAAGAAAAAAAGTACATTTTCTTAATATATAACAGTTAGTACATACACAGCAATGCAAAATATATAATCGATCTTTGGGGATGTTAGATCTCCAAAACTCGCTTGATAAATGCCTTATTTTGGATTTCACGTTTGCGAGCATGGGCTGATCAACTGACATTGAGATCACATTTCCCACCAGCAAAACCAATGGCTGTGATTGGTTGCTGTGTATTTTAGTGTGCTATTTTCGTAACTGTTCCAAGGATGTTTCTATGATGTATAAATAAACGAGAGTTGTGTGCTTGATTGTATTGTGTGATAGCTGGGTGTTTTATAGAATATACTTTCTATGCTTACCAAGCCTTCTTTTTACAGCTTGGGATTCAAGGTAGTCTATCTGGACGCTGGTAACTGTCTCGTTCGCGTTTATCGACTAAGGTGAACTCATAATAGCTTCAAGCGTACCAAGTGACGAGTGTTATTCGTTTTTCAGTTAAGTGAAGGTAATCTGTAAGCAGCCATTTTAAAAAGACTTTGTTTCCTTATGATGCTTAGCATTCATTAAAAAAACTGTTCAGAGCATAACTGATTCCCCATTTGCAACTACTACTATTACTATTAATACTACTCACACTACTACTCACACTGTAGTGAAGAACACAGGTGAGGGCAGCCGAATTTTATTTATCGCAAATTACAGAGTTACTCAGTAAAATAGGAAAACAACATCGTAAACCGTTAATTTGCAAATCTTCAATCCATCATCAATCCATTGTCTGACACTTCACTATTCATGCGTTTCATACTCCATTGTGTTCCCACTCTTCCTTTCTTGATCTTCCCCCATCCTCTTCTGCTGCCAGACATTACGTTTTCACTCGCGTCAAATACTACTTATAAGTAGCGCGCACCACAACACTACTACTACTCACTCACACTCCGACTACTAATACAATACAAATCATCGTTCATTCAATCACAATTACTCCTTTTTTTTAAAAAAAAAAGACATGATTAAATCAAACACTAAACATAACAATTTTTAATTAATTATTTTTAATACAAAAATAAAAAATAAAATAAAATGCGACATACTAGAATTAATTCAGTTGTTGGACCTTTAGTTGTATAACGTTTCCAATTAGTTTTTATAGTTGAACTAATATAAATGGCAAAATGTGAATAACTATTACCAGTATAATTAATTAATTGATTAATTGCATTTTGATTTAATTTTTTAATTAAATATGGTGAAATAGTTTGTAATAAATTTATTGGTAATGACCAACTAATACGTAATTGATGCTGATCAAGGAATAATGCACGTAGATTAGTCGGTGAAAATGGTATAGCTGTAAAGAAAAAGAAAAAAAATGAGAATATGTGATTTTAATGTGTTTTTATTGAAAAAAAAACAAACAATTACAGTAAAATATGATGAATCGATCATTGTTAGACTAATATTAGATGAAACCTGGAAGTACCATTGGACATTTACATCGTTGCATATCAGCTTGTGGTGTGTGCTACTTATACGAACGATATAAGTAGTATAAGAAGGGATGTGGAAGAAGAAGTCGCACAGTCAGAAGAGGAAAATGGAAAGCAAATGGAGCAAAAGCAAGAAATGAATGGAATACCAACAGGAAGGGAAGGAAGCAACAACAGGAATGGAAGAAGGATGCAGCGTTGGAAGTCAAGACTCAAAATTGGTGTGCAAATAGTGTTTAATGTAATGTTTTCGTTTTTATCTGACTCAGAGTGTAAATTAGCATAATACAAACTTCTTCGCCTGCCTCAGTCTTCTCAAGCTCAGTAGTATAGAGGTTAAGCGTTCAGGCGCTTAGTCGAATGTCTTGGCTTCGCTTTCCGCTAGTGGGGTTCATGGTTGTGCACTGCTGATTATGTTATGTTCGTCACTAGGTACGCTTGAAGCTAGTACGAGTTCATCCTACTTGATAAACGCGAACGAGACAATGAACCAGCGTCCAGATAAGGCTACCTTGAATCCCAAGTTGTAAAACAGAAGTTTTGGTAAGCGTAGAAAGTATATTCCAAAAAATACCCAACAAGCACAATACACAATCAAGCACACAACACTCGCTTATTTATACATCATAGAAACATCCTTGGGACAGTTACGAGAATAGCACACTAAAATACACAGCAACCAATCACAGCCATGGATTTTCCTGGTGGGAAATGGAATCTCAATGTCAATTGATCAGCCCATGCTCGCAAATGTGAAATCCAAAATAAGGCATTTATCAAGCGAGTTCTGGGGATCTAACATCTACAACAGATTAGTCCCAAACTAACTCGAAACGGCCACCCAGTGCTTCCGCTTTTCCAATGATGATCTAACAATAATCAATGAAACTTAACAATCTTCATAATTCTATAATAAAAATCTTAATGAAATACGAATAAAAGTTGCAGAAATAACTTTAAACAGAACGACGAAAACATAACTCGCAGAATAGAATGTTATTTGTTGGCGGATGTTGAATCCTCAGAATTCACTTGGAAAAGTCCTGATTTTGTAATTTTATTATGAAATTTTGAATTTGCATGTCTTCGCGTCAGTTGACCTTTAGCTTACATTTCCCATTCGGAAAATCCTAGGCTATCATTGGTTGATGGATTATTTTAGTACACTGTTTTGTAGCTCTCTCAAGGGAGTTTCTATAAATAAGCTTGATTTGAGTGCTTAGACACCTCGGATTTTCTGGGTGCTTATAGAATACACTCTCTATGCCTTATCAAGACTTCTTGATCTAGATAGCAGGGCCTGGGACAAACGGATTAGAATAGCCTATCGTGTCACAGTATCGTTGACCTTCGTTCCATTTACCGAGTAAGGTAAACTCGTAATAGCATTCAGGCATATCAATTGACTAGCATATCAGTATTCATGGTTTAAAAAACAGATTCATAATTACATAGTTTCTTATTCAGTTAGCACACCTAACATGTGTGTACAAGCCAACAATATCTTTTTAGAAAATCTTTTCATAACATAAATTAATCTCAATAATCATTATTTTTTTTATGCAAAATATTCATTCTTACATGGTTTCTTTGGTAAAATTATCTTCTCTGTTGACCATGGTCCAAATCCATACACATTAATTGCACGAATAAGACATGCATAAATTTTATCATGATTTTGTTGTGAATCAATCGATGAATCATGTTTATATTGAAAATCAATCGGATAGTTTAAATGTAATTGACCACTTGGCCATGGAATAATATTTAATAAACCATTCGGTGCTGATGATATTGGCCATTGAACACGACTATTCAGCAAGGTCACATTGTAGTGTTGTTGTTCAACTGTATTGGATAATTTCAATGAATCATCAGTTGGATTAGAATTGATCGATTGTTTATTAGACTGATGATGATGATGATAACATTTAATTTCATATGATTCAAATAGACCATTTCGATGATTCCAATCAGGTGGATTCCATGATAGTGTTATATGATCTAATGTATAACTAGTTTGTATTAATGTCGGTGTATTTGTTGGTGCTAAAAATGAAAGTAATCACATATATATATATTGTGAAATTAATTGAAATATAATGTAATGATATTAGACTATTTGGAAATAATCAATAAGAAACAATGACCTTGAAGCTCATTCAACATTGAACACTCACTCACTATCTCTATCGTATAGAGTAAGTAGTTCATTCTGTCCTGACTGCATACAGGAATTCATGATTCTGTCATATTGAATTAGCGATTTGTATCAATCTAGTTCAAGAATATTTCTCTTAGTCGCTAAATATTTTTATCTGCATGAATCGATATCTGAACTGTATGCTCTTCAAATTCAAATACTTTTATAGTCAACTTTTTTAACGAGATTATAGGACAGATGATATACCAAGCAAAAATTGGGGCATATACTTATAAATATATTTCATTAATATCAGTATTATTTGATTATATACAGTCAGATTGTGAACTGATAAAAAGCCATATGATAAGTTAATCTATGAAATTCAATTGATTAAACAAACAAGACGTTTGTCATGCACTGATCAATAAGTGTGTGTTGGTTATACGCTCTATGAAATGTGAGTTTATGAAAGACTTACATATCCTGTTATTCAATCCTTGGCGAGATTGTCATCTACACTATAGAAATTAAACTTATTAAATGATTATGTTGGGGATGTTAGATCCACAGAACTCCCTTGATAAAGAACTTAATTTCGGATTTCATTCATAAGCCAATCAGCTGACCTTAAGATTACATTTCCCACTAGCAAGATCCTTGGCTCTGATTGGCTGATGTGTTATCTTAGTACGCTATTTTTGTAGCTCTCTCAAGGACGTTTCTATGCTATATAAATAAACACGATTGTGTGTGCTTGTCAACTTCATATTTTCTGGGTGCTTGTAGAATACACTTTCTACGCCATATTAAGACTTTTTCTTCAGTTAATTGGGTCAACGGATCAGAGTAGCCTATTGTATCACTAGTCTATTGTCTCGTTCTCGTTTATTGATTAAAGTGAACTAGTAATCGTTTCAAGCATTTCAAGTGACGAGCATAACGGATTATAAATAATAATAATAATAATCAAAATAATTGGTCAATTTTTATTTATTCGAAAAAAAACACATCTTTACCTGTTCCTTCAAATGCCACCGTTTCCACAGCTTCATAACCAATTTGTAATGTAGTGATTGCAGCAACACGAAATTCATAGCTCATACCAAGTACTAAATAAAATAAAAATATGAAATAATATAAAAAACGATTTATTCCAATGAACAATTGAATTCATTTCAACACATAAAATAACACATAATATTTATGATTGAAAAACAATTGAAGACAATTTGAACAAGTGAAATTCTTTTTGGATAATTTCTTGTTTTAATTATAGTTGTAAAATTAATGTGTAGTTGTTATCAGTTTTTATTACTGTCATGGAAAAGTTTAGACTTTCTAAACACACCCTCTGAACATTATCTTTCATGAATTTTGAAATTGTGTAATTTTCTATTGTTTTTAAATATAAATTCACCCTTAATTGTCAACGGTAATTTTACAGTGGTTTACAGCAGAACCTGACGTAGTCCACGTGTTTACACTACAACGTGAACAGAACAGCTCAATCCTGTGGCGCAACCACATGGGGTGCCCGATACCCAGGTGGACCACATAATTATTATTTCCAATACATGACCGCCTGTGTCGACATGTACAGCACGAACAGGCCAATATGACCCATCCTGCTTACACGACTATCGAACATATTATTACTAGCAATGACAATGGCTCCTGGGAATGTTGCCAGACAACTATTGCTTTTCCATCATCCCTAACACTGTGAGAAGACTGAGGCAGGCGATAAAGTTTGTATTATGCTAATTTACTCTCTGAGTCAATTAAAAACGAAAACATTACATTGAACACTCTATTTGCACACCATTTTTGAGTCTTGACTTTCAATGCTCCATCCTTCTTCCATTCCTGTTGTTGCTTCCTTCCCTTCCTGTTGGTATTCCATTCATTTCTTGCTTTAGCTCCATTTGCTTTCCGTTTTCCTCTTCTGACCGTGAGACTTCTTCTTCCACGTCCCTTCTTATACTACTTATATCGTTCGTATAAGTAGCACACACCACAACTGTAATTTAGTCGTCAATACACATTTTTATATGTTTTTTTTATAATTTATCTTTTCCAAAACTTGTTAAGTGGATGGATAAATTACTTTTCACATAAATGATTTCATCATCTTACAGTCAGTCTATTTGTAAATGTTCAATCATCTCTAAACAACTTCAATTTCACACATGATGTGATTTGTTCATTTTCTTTTTTGTACTTTTCCGATAGATTGTTTTTATTTATCAATTCAATTCAAATATTGATTAGATATTGCTCGAATGAATAATAAATATTATGAAATAGAGAATTTTGTTACATACTTCATCAACACAACTATCCTTATGATAATAATACTGACTGTTGTGAATAGGAATGGCGCGGTTTGACGTCGTCAAGTAGTGTGGATAAATTTTACATAATGAATCTTAGTAGGAATATACATTGTGTACCTAATCATATTAACTACTTGTTATCAACTGTTATATGAATTCGAATTCTGATAATTTTCATTTATAACTGGAATCTAGTTTTCAGTTTAGAAATACAACATTCATTCTAATAACGAAAAAACATTTTAGAACTGATAGCTGCTGATTGGTACTGACTATTACGAATTGACTGAAGTTAAAAGATTATACACCAGTGAACATCAGCTGACAGGCTATAATTACTGTCTAAATTTCCTGTATTATAATGAAATATCTATTTGGTTGTACCTCAATAGAATCTTATCTCTGACGAATATGATCGATTTATAAATAAGAACTATTTCACTAACTATATACAGTAATAAGGTATTCGGCAATAGGTTGTTATTAATAAAAATTCTATTCATTTTTTTCACTCAAAAGTCAGTAAATCATTTCTTTTTGTTTTCTTCATAAGATTTACAAATTAAATTAAATTATTTGATATTATGAAGTTTTGTAATTAGAGTTAAATAATTTCTTAATTATTCGATTACTACTACTTACTATTTAAGTAGTTGAATAACATCTAAATCTGATTTCAAATAAAATGAGAGTAAATTTTTCATCGAAAGACAGTCACTTTTAAAGTACTGACACATTATAGCTATAAGAGCAGTGTAGAACTAAGATTGATTCTTCTATGTAGGACTTTTCAACTGAACCCGCTTACAATTCACTATCGGCACGCTGACATAGCAACTCAAACACAGTAATTTTTTTACTTCAAATATCAACGTGTTACAGCAAAAAATATAAACATAGTTCTTTTAATGGTTTCGAAGCCCAGGATTCTAATACAAGAGTAAAATGATATCTCTCTATTCTGAGTATTGAATAATTCGCCTAGACTGTTTGCTGAGTGTCAATAACAAGATGATAGTGAAATAACATTCGGGAACACAACCCTTAAGGACTTTCGTTTCAGACTCCAGTCCTTCCCTCCGTCCACTCTCTTGATGTAAAGGATCAAACAATTCGATTACTCGTAGTTATACAGCAATGGATCTGTAATCAAGTAACAACAACTTAAGAAAATCACAACACACACTAGAACAAGAAATTATACAACAAGCAGGAGAATACAGTAAAAAATATACAACCATTTCAAATAGTACAATTAAGAAATTTGAAATCATGAAGCGATCAATGTTAGACCACCATCAGAAACCTGTAAGCACTAGAAGGCCGTTTCGTCCTTGTATAGGACTCATCATTAGTGCTCATCCACGAATCCTACATCTCGCAGCATCCGGACTCAGGACGATCGGTCTTGTGCGTGAACGCTTAACCATCGGACCACTGGGCCGGTATCTGACGGTGTTAATGTCTAACTTCGATCAATTCACGGAGTTGCACAACCTCATACACTGTCTTTGGTAGTTACTGTCTACATCCGAACAGGTTGAACTTTATTGATCACGAGAAATTTCAAATTCTGCTTAATATTCATTATTTATGCATACACTAATTATAATGTTTCTCACTTACAAAATAGATCAGAAGCAGCATTCCAATTGGTTTCAGTTAAATTCACTTCACCATATAAAAATTTCTTTGGAATAAGTAAATCAGATTGAAATGGATTATTAACACCATTTATTGTAAGCTGATTAGTAGATTGTTGATTTTGTTGTGTTTCAATAATTGGCCAATGTAATGTTGCTTGACTTGGATATTTATCTATTGAACGCAATGTACGTTTTGAAAGAGATTGTGATGCTGTTTTAAAATTCTTTTCACCACCAATTAAACGCCATTTAATTCGATATAAAGAAGATTTTTCACCAATTGTATAACCATCATACCAAACTGGTTCCCATGAAATACGTAATAGAATTTGTGGTGGTAAATTAACACTAGACTGAGGAATTATTTGACTAATTAAACGTAATTTTTGTGGTGCTGATGGAGCTGAAAACCAGAGTTAAATTAAATTGAATTAATGAATTTTTTATTAGTTTTGAATGGATTAGTGTAACTGTATTCACTGTTAGATATGATTTCATTTTAAACACTCATGACACTTAAAATGCTAGTGAGCAAATCCAATAAAATCTATGAAAGCTATGTTGATATTAGAGACTTGAATATTTAAGTTATAGAATCGAGCTTGATGGGATATGTATGAACATGTTCACGAATCCAGTTAGCTACATAGACTTAGACTATTTATATATATCTACATTTGGCTCACTAACAATTGTCAGCACTGCATACATCTCATCGTAAGTGCTGATGTTCTTTGTGAGATTTGAACTAGAGTTATTTACGACCTCATTCTGAACAATCACTAGTGAGTTATATTCAGTCTGATAATGACCGCTAATTGTACAACACAAATGTATTTGTTACTGATAGATCATTGAGTAATGATCATTGATAAGAATTTTTTTTCTAATCTTAAAACTTTTCAACAATCTTGGACTACATGCATTCAGATCTTAACATTCAAGGTAACAAGTTCACTTGTTTGTGATTGGCTCGATATTGGTCAAATTGTTCATATTGTTATCGATCGGGCTAGATTTTCATTGGATAGTAGATATGGATGAATTGCTATTTGACCTTGAATGAACATTATTTATTGCATGCAAGGTTTTCAGCTAAAAGAATACATTAAATTTCGCTATTCAATAGTTTCCGATGCATCTTATTTTTAAACATAGCACCTTATGATGATAAGGCTAATTTTAAAATAAGCACGCGAAAAAAAAGCACTTGCAATGAAACTCTATGAATTAAGAATAGAAAATTTTGCATGAATTTATTAAATTTAGTAAAAAAATAAATCGCATGAATAAATGGTAACACCTAGTTTCACAGATTTCACCAATACTACTGATACCTATTAATGTTGTTTTTATTTTGCGAACAGTAGTATTGTTATACTTTTTGTCATTTGTATAGAAACTTCTTTGCATTCAGGAAATTCCGGTTGATATTGAGAATAAAAATGATATATATATATATATATATATATATATATATATTCACGAAATGTATATAGAGGTATACGTTTGTTTATCTACTCACGGATATGATATGGATACTCTGACATACACATACACACACACACACTCACATGTACAAATGAACTAAAGAAATGTTATAATATTCAATGTCAAAAGGTTTTTGTTGTACATTTATTTGTTTATATTTTCTCACATCTAGTTTATTCGCTTAATTCTAATGTTACTAATGGTAACATGAGTTGAATTATGTGATATATTCGTTTTGTTTTTGCCAGCACTGTTCAATTTTTTTTTAAAAGGAAATGTAAGAAATCGTATGGAATTTGAAAAAAACAAACGGAAGATTTCTTTAGATTTTGAAGAAGTAAACTCAATTTCAAATAATGTATTTTTATAATATTCACTAAATATTTGAATCTAAGGTACTGAGGACGATGATGATTTCGAGGCTTCCTTACTTCATATATCTATCCTCTGTTGACTACTCTCGTGAATCCTAAAATTTTGAATACGAAAGTAGTATTTGGGATGCAGATAAATGGAGACAATTATATGAATAGAAAATCGATCAGTTCCATAACTGCAATTCGGTGATAGAAAATGGACAAAGTTCAAATCAATGATCGTTGGAGTTTTAGATCATGGTAATTTCAAGAATATCAGAGAATATCTTACAAATCAGTCATCAATCAGTCAATTAGTCAGTAAAAACAAAGAGTTATTATATCTGATCGATCAGCCCATTCGAAAAACATCAGGCAATAATAACGTTGATCAATAGTTAACAGAACAACTTGAATATTAAAACAACCGAAAACAATAAAACCTGTTTGCCTAACTAATCACAATCGAAGCTACCAGAATAAATTGATTGAAGAATGATGAAATAACTAAGAAGCTGAATTCTATGCCAAATAAACATTGACAATGTTATCTGGAACAACGATAAGAGCTTTACAATGAAGCCATCTAGTTAAGAGAACTGAACAAACAATACTAAACAAAAACCAAGTTAATATTTTTTTATCGGCTAAATAATTTATAGATTACAAGGAGGCTACTGAAAGCATACCTTAATAAGTAAGCAGTACCATACGGAAACGAATATCTCCAAGCCAGAATATATAAAAATACACGAGGATGAAAGGTTTTTGACTGATTATACATATATACATATATAACATTAAAATCAAGCATTCTGTTAGTTCAAATCATTGTTAGACCACTATTAGAAACCTGAAAGCACTGAAAGACTGCCGTTTCGTCCTGGTATGGAACTTATCAGCAGTGCGCATCCACGATTCCTTCTAGTTGCAAGATTCAAACCCAGCACGTTTAATATTGTGCGCGAGCACCTAACCTTTGAACCGCTGAGTCCGCATCCAAAGGTGTTAATGTATGACTCTGATCAACACATAAATATACATTATAATCTTTAAGTTTTTATAGATACAGATTGTCCAGAAATCGCTCTTAAGTTGATAAAAAAAGATACCATTTTATAGGCAACAGATAGTCAGAAAAATTAGATAAATAATGTAACGCCAGCATATACACATATTTAACACTAAAAAAAACAGTATCCACCTACGTTCATTCCATGTTTTCACTGGTTGAGAAACTGCAATCTCTCCTGTACTTGATGGAGAGACAGCTCGTAAATGTATTACATAATAAGTCGATGGTTGTAGACCAGTAATATTTGCACTATACCATGATTCTGTTAAATTTGTCAAATTCTCATCATAACTTTCTTTATGTTGAGTTGGTATTTGCAAACTGCCAAATACGCTTGTTTCAAATATTCCAGCATTCACTGATGATGATGACTGTGATGACTGATTCAACCATGTTTGAGAATGATGATTTCCGGAGGAGGAGGAGGACCATGAACCCTATACATATACATAATTAATAATAACGGACATTAAGAACGGAGAAAGATTAATACTTGTTCGGCATAACGTAGTTCTAACGTAGATTTCAACCTAATCCACAGTTCCCACCCATATTTGGTAATGAGATCAACTTACCTAAGTAATACAAACATTATGACACTGACATATTATTTTACTCGAATACGAAGAAATCAACACGAATAAGACTCAAATAAAATCATCTAACATTACAATAATACAAAGCTAAGTAACACTTGGATTGTCTGCCTACAAATTTTATCTACTGAAATGCAACAATAGATTGGTCAAAGTCAAGTGATTGATTCAGCTTTTACCTATGAAAATATTACTTACTTACTTTCGCCTGTTACACCCAATGGAGCATAGGCCGCCAACCAGTTTTCTCCAACAAACTCTATCTGTACTGGGCTTCCCTCTCGAGTTCTGTCCAATGTTTGTTCATTCCTCTCATATCTTTCTCTATTTATCGGCGTAATGTATTCCTTGGCCTTCCTCTTTTCCTTTTGCCTTGAGGGTTCCATGTGAGGGCTTGTCTCGTGACGCAGTTAGGTGCTTTTCGTAGAGTGTGTCCTATCCACTTCCACCGCTTCTTCCTCATTTCCTCCTCCACTGGAATCTGGTTTGTTTTCTCCCACAGTACGTTGTTGCTGATGGTGTCTGGCCAACGAATCCGAAGTATATTGCGTAGGCAGCTGTTAATAAACACTTGTATCCTCTGGATGATGGCTTTGGTAGTTCTCCATGTTTCTGCTCCATACAGTAGAACTGTCTTGACATTTGTATTGAAAATTCTGATTTTCGTTTTGGTTGAAAGTTGTTTGGAGTTCCAGATATATTTCAGCTGTAGAAATGCAGCCCTTGCTTTACCAATCCGCACCCTCACATCTGCATCGGATCCACCTTTATCGTCGATGATGCTGCCTAGATATGTAAAGGTGTTAACGTCCTCCAAGGGATCTCCATGAAGAGTGATTTGGTTGGTGCATGTTGTGTTGCATCGGAGAATTTTGCTTTTTCCTTTGTGTATGTTGAGACCTACTGTTGCAGAGGCTGCTGCTACACTGGTCGTCTTCTCTTGCATTTGTTGTTGCGTGTGCGATAGAAGAGCCAGGTCATCTGCGAAGTCCAGATCGTCCAGCTGCGTCCTAACTGTCCAGTTGATACCGTGCTTCCTTCCAGATGTCGACGTCTTCATAATCCAGTCGATGACCAGGAGAAAGAGAAAGGGTGAGAGTAAGCAACCTTGCCTGACACCGGTCTTCACCTCGAAAGAGTCTGTTAGCTGTCCTTCGTGTATGATTTTGCAGTTGAATCCATCATAAGAATTCCGTATGATGTTAACTATTTTCTCAGGTACACCATAGTGTCGAAGAAGCCTCCACAGTGTTTTCCTATCCACTCTATCGAATGCTTTCTCGTAGTCGATCAAGTATGAAAATATAAATCAATAAAAAATAGAGGCCTTAATTAACATCTACTACTGAGTGAGTACAAAAATGGTTGGATTTTTTCATTTGAACATATCTATGAAGTTGAAATGAAACTAAACTGTTAGAGCTGTCTTTTTTCCTAAGGATTACAACTTGTCTATTATTTATCCCAAATGCCTATTCACATCAAATAATTGAATCGATTCACTAATACAAGTTTCAATTATATATCACATAATGACCACAAAAAGACACATCTTGATTAATGGAATTTAGTCAAATTATACACTAAAAGCATAGTGTATTGAATGACAACAAAAAAAGGATCACATTGAATTTGTTCAATGGATGAATGCTTCAAATAAAAATTTTTGTTCTTTTAAACAAAGCAATTTACATAAAAAATGAAATTATTATTATTATTAATAACAAATTAATAGATATATTAAATTAGAATTCAGAGACATTCCCCTAAAAAATAGACAAATAGCCAAAAGAAACTTGGTACATAAAAAACTAAACGGTAAAATGGTTACATCTCAACAAAAAAAAAACAAACCCTTGAACATCATACACTACTCTGTATTCCACTCTTATTGTTTGAGGATAGCATTTTCTTCTCAAATAATACTACTACAAAAAATTTAATTGTACTAATCAAGAAAACAAAATAGTGAGTGGTCTTCTTCAACATTGAACAAGGAAAAATTAGAGATAAACACACGGACACACGGACACACAGATACACAGACACACACATATATATATACGCATAAAAGTTCATAACCTACTTCACTATCTGTTTGACGCCAATTTAAATCATAATAAGCAATACGAGCAGATGATGATGAAGATAATGATAAGCTACTATCAGAGAATCGGTCATTGTTTGTTGGGCGTTGCCATTTCACTTGTAATTGGGTGGCACTAATAGCTTGTACAGATAAATTTTTAGGCGCCGGTGGAACTATGCCGTAGTAGTTAGTAGTAGTAGTGGTAGTAGTAGTGGTAGCAGTAAAGAAATCAGAAAAATATGGATATATGAATGCATAAACATTTTTAATAAGATATAGATATATATATATTATTAATTATTCATCATGTATATAATTGTATGCATAGAAAACGGATGTTTGTTTTTTACAAGAGATTATTATTATTCAATAAGAATTTTTATAGATAAGAATTTGAAATTTCTGAATGAAATAAAAATCAATTAAGTACTACTGATATATTCCACAAAATAGTCGTTTAGACGTGAATTTAACTTTTTTTTTTCATGTTCTATTCAAGACATCGTCATATATATTTATATGGAGAGAGAGAATACAGTGAGAGAATGATGCAACAAGTAATCAGTGTATATGGATTATCAAGCTTTCCATCGAAATATGTCAAAAAATTGATACAGTTTTATGCAAATAACCTCAATTAAATTCCAAATCAATGAACTTGATTGTCTAGTAATCCATTTATCAGGTTTTAAACGATTCACTACGTCATTGTGACTTTCTTTGCATTCAGCTTTCATTGATTTGAGCACACTTTTAGATAATGGACTTTTTAGGTTGATTTTATTTTTGAAATGATATCTCTTAAACATCAATAATTTGCCTTCTAAAAGACGACGAATGTATGTCACCATGTCAATTGACATGCTTGAACTATTACGGGTTCATGTTAGTCGGTAAACGAGAGCGAGGATCGATGATCTGGTGACACGATAGGCTAATCTAATCCGAGTATCAGAAACTCTACGAAGCAGAATAAGAAGACTTGATATGAAGTACAACGTGTATTCTAAAAGCACCCAGAAAGTTCGTGGTCCGAGTCAAGAAGAGAATAAGGGTCCCGGACTAGGATCCGGATCATAAATCGGTACAGACAATGCATGTTTATACAGTTAGGTCGGATATGAGACAACATTTGAAGTATGTGGCATTGATTGTTAGGTTAACCAATAGGAATTAATCAGTAGGAACTGACCAATAAAATTCTTTAGACATTTGGAATCATCAACCAATCATTGTTAGATCACCATTAGAAACCTGTAAGCACTGGACTATCGTTTCGTCCCGGTATGAGACTCATCAGCAGTGCGCATCCACGACTCCTGCACCTCGCAGGATTCGAACGAAGGACCTTCGGTATTGTGCGCGAACGCCTAACCAGAAGAATTCTGTTAGAATATTTAATGAGTATCCTAACAAGAATTTACTAATATATAATGAAGGTTATTAGACTATTATTATTATTATTATTATCATTGTTAAATAGTGTAATCTTTCATGAGTGCAATGGTACACAATTTAAAATTCATTTCGATGAATAGACATCTAAAAATTGTCAGCCATTTTTAATCTAAATTCAATAGTTCAATACATCTAGATTTAGGGAAGATGTAAATTTTATCTTATTTTAAAAACATATGAGTCTATCAGTTAAACAGTTATAAATAATGCAGATTTTGTCAAAGATTATTTTTGTGTTTTTAAATGTAAATAATTTATTCTGACAGCATTCAATATAACTTCTCACTACTTTTTTTTTAATTCATAATATTGATTGTTACGAACGATTAAGATTTTTCCAAAATACAAAATTATTAATATTTTTAATATATCAATTATTGTTATGGATGAGTGAACTTGTTGCATTCAATATCAAGAAAAATGCTAATTTTGATAGACAGACTACTCTTGTTTCAAAATTGTTATCGACATTTTTTCGATTATTGAAATCATGAGTGAATTATTTTTAGACTACCATTCTAAACCTTTTCGTCACCAGCGGTATACACCCACAACCCCCGTTCACGAGAATCCAATCAAGGATCTTTGGTTTCACGAGTGGACGCTCAACCTTCAGACCACCAACGATGTTAATGTCTAACTTTAATCAATCCACAGTATTTCATAACCTTATCTATTGTCTTCGGTCGGTATCCGCCTCACACTAGATAAGGTTGAACTGCACTATTCATGGCTTCTTACCAGAACTCCGAGAATTTCCTCACGAAGCTATTCACTACTGAGCATATTTTATGATTTTTCAGTAAACAGTTATGGAGATTGTTGTGTATCATTGAAATCATAACAAAATAAGTTATATTATGATTTACGAGCAAGAAAAACTATTCACATACTGTTAGGATATTCATCCAATCTCCTAAGATAATTATTGGTCAATTCCAATTGGTTAATGCCTACTAGTCAATTTTATGGTCGTCCTTGATATCAATGTCACGTATCCTAATGTTGTTTCTTATTGGTAGTCCTGACTTCGATGCTGTTTCCTATTCGACCTAAATGTATAAATACGCATTATCTGTACTCTTTTATGGCCTGGACTCGGACCCGGAACCTTAAACCGGGATCTGTTTCTTCTTCTGAACTGGGAACTCGTACTTTCTGGATGCTTGCAGAACACAGATTCTATTTCATATCAAGTCTTCTTTTATTCAATCAGGGTTAGGACACTTGGACCCTCGATCCTCGCTCTCGTTTACTGACTAAGGTAAACTCGTAATGGTTCAAGCATGTCAAAATGACATGTTTACGTTCATGCGTAGCACACATTGGTGAAATTGCTTTTTTGGAATTTTTTTACGGTCTATCTTAACAACGGAATGAATGAAAAGCACAAATTCCTCGTGGAAATAAACTATACGCCTTTCTACACTATGACTTTTAGCTTATTCTCTCGACCTTGAATGTGATTGGTTATTGTTAACAAGAGATGTGTTAACAATGGCCAATCAAAATTAGCATTTATCATTAAAAAAATATGCTGTATCTGCAGACTTAATAATCATCCCATTTATGGATTCGGCAACATCTAACTTCTAATCAAATTATTAGTCTTTAACATTTTCGTTAATATTTTAAATGTTCAATCTAGATTAGCGATAAATCATAAGAATACGAATGAAAAGTTTCATATTCTACCCATGACAATAACCGTTAAATATTCGAAAACATTCAGCTTACAAGACAATAATGTATTATTTATCTTCCTAAATTATTCCGTTAACAAAATTCTACATATTACAATTATTATCGGTAAAATTTTGGATAACATTGAACGTTGAACTTTCGATGGAAAAAGCAACAAAAACTTGTAATTTAAACATCAAGCATTCCAGAGAGATATCGATTCGAATAGATTAATAGATCAATAGATATATCATAAAAATGTTAGATGACTGAAGGTAATCAGTAGGAAATCCTGACATCCAACTTGAAATCTCCAGGCAATATATTGTGTCCGTGGGATACTAGTCGGCCAGATTCACAGCCCAAAACCTTTTCATTAAACTATTCTAGCTACAACTGACGTACTTTGAGGTATTTTGACTGTCTACTCCTAATTGCCTAATAATAAGTAACCTATAGTACAAGACAATGAGTCACTCAAATTATTATGCCCATATTACAACTCGAACAATAGATCTTAAATGGTACACTAAAGAAGAGCTTGATATTCACGACATTGATCCCTTCCTAGTAATCAACTATTTGTAAATATTATTTTAAAAATATATATTAAATTTGCATTACGTGGTTGTGAAGATTGTTAAGTTACACACTTTTGAAACCATGTATCGATCAATGTTAGACCACCATTAGAAACCTGGAAGCACTGGATGGCCGTTTCGTCCTGATATGGGACCCCTGTGCTCACTAGTGACTAGCTTCGTGAGGAATCTTCTCCGAGTTCTAGTGGAAAGAAGTGACCAGTGAAGTTCAACCTAATCGGGTGTAGACAGTATCTACCGAAGACTGTGTATGAGTTTGCGCAACTCCGTGAATTGATCAAGTTCGACATTAACACCGTTAGATACCGGCTCAGTGGTCCGATGGTTATGCGTTCGCGCACAATACCGAGGGTCCAGGGTTCGAATCCTGCGAGGTGCAGGAGTCGTGGATGCGCACTGCCACTGAGGAGTCCCATACCAGGACGAAACGGCCATCCAATGCTTCCATGTTTCCAATGTTGGTCCAACAGTGATCGATTCATGTTTTCAAAAAAATAAATTAAATTATCACTTACTGAATTGATTAGTTCGAGCGAATGTCGATGCTTTGACACCATGTCCAGTTTTAGACACAGCAATCAAATTAAATACATAACGTGTATCCGGTTCTAAATTATTCAATAAATAACTTGTTATATCAGGTCGAATTTGTATAGTGGAAGTTTGTTGTTGTTGTGATTTGATTGGTTTATTGTTATGAGTACTAACACTGCTACTACTAGCACTTTGTCTATTAAACCATTGTAAATGATGATCTGGTGATTTTTTAATATCTAATACAGCTTCATATTCTAATTCATAATATTCTAATGAACGTGTATTTGGATCAATATCATTTGGTGGTTTCCATTGAAGTAGAATTTCATGTGGTGATTGTGTTGTTGCAGTGAAATTTTGTGGTTTTGAAAGAACTATTGATATTTTTTGAAAAAATTAGACAAGAATAAAAATAGAGAATAATAGTTGAAATATAAATTATAATCTGATCAATTTAATTGAATTAGGTTTGAATAGTAAGTAATTGTACATATGTTGTTCATATTTTACTCATGGAAATTCACCAAGAGGCATTGATGAAAAGACGATCCGTTCTAGTATGGGACCCCTCAGCAATGCTTATCCATGACCCTATCGCAGAGAATTGGACCTGACACCTTCTATTAAAGCGGTTAAACTTTCGATCATTAAGCTGACATTCCTTAGTGTATCCGCTTAATTTCAGTCAGTTAGCGATATTACGTGATCAGCCTCCACTATCCGCAGTGGATAACTGTTTCTCATATCTGACAATGTTCAACTCCTGTGGTTACAGTTTCTTACCAGAGCTCCTGGAATTCAGTCTCAAAGTTAGTCAATGATCATACGACCAGGATGCCTGTTGATTATCAATTGTAATCGAGTTAAGATTAATTCATGATGTAATCTATGAAAGTTCACATATTTGTTGAACAAACCAAAGGATTAGATCCTATTTAGCTCATTGTATTTCTCATACAATGACAATGATAATTTTTAAAGAATAGACAAGATATGGTCAAAAATGGAATCTAGAATGAGCAGGTTTCCGAAATCTCGTGTTCATCAACTGCATACACATGCAGCCCATTACGGAGATTAGAATCTGTTACTTTTCATTACAAAACGCCAAACTATTGAATCTTGATATTCACTAACTCATTCAACAAGTATGATATTTAAATTGTCATTCGTAAATGTTCAAATGTGTCATTTCTACAAAGATAATCCTCACCAGCTAATCATACTACTTATTTCGACTAACCAAATTGAATTCTTCTTTGTCAACTATGGAATCATTCAAACCTTAATTAATAGCACTCATAACTCATTCAACAAGTATGATATTTAACTTGTCATTCGTAAATTTTCAAATGAACCTATTGTGTTATTTCTACAAAGATAATCCTCATCAGCTAATCATACTACTTATCTAGACTAACCAAATTGAATTCTTCCTTATCAACAATGGAATCATTCAAACCCTAATTAGTATGAATAATCATAACAATAATAGTATTAATTATACATGATTTCCAGAATACACTTACCACCAGGTCGTACAATAACAATCGATATCTCAGATGCTGGTCCTTCACCTTGTCCATTCACTGCACTAACACGTATATAATACGTAGCATTTGTTATTAAATGTGATAAAATTGATAAATGACCAGGAAGTGTTGTTTGTTCATTGGTTTTCTTAGCATTCATTGATGTACTTGTTGGTGAAGAAGATTTTAATGCTTGTAAATTCACGATACTTGTATCCCAATAAGAAAATTCTAATGTAGGATTATTTGTATAATAAATTCGATATGCCTAGAATTAAGAAAAAATTAAAAGGGATTTGTTAATTTGATTGTTCTTATCGGTGTTGTTGTTGTTGAAAAACAATTCGATTACAATGACATCACATCGTCTGATATCATGGATCGATCTTAGGTTTAATAAATTTTTTTGAAAAGAGACCAATAGATGAGTTTTTTGGCCTTGGCAATGATAGAACCCGAGGTCATTCATCTCTCAGTAAGGCTGTGACATTCAGGATATCGAGTTAACATCAAACAGTTCATATATAAAAAAGTATATACATATATATAACGTCAATCAATTCACGAACTTGTAAAACCAGTGATCAATGCTATTCAATAAGTAGCTGCCTCAGATGTTCGAGCTCTGTCAGCCACAGATTCATTGTAGAACTATGATAATGTTCACTTTAAATTATTTATCAATGATGATATGATTATATTTAATGTGCATGGTTGAATGTCATATTTGATAACATAGATTATTATATTACATGACAATACTTATTCCACGAGTGATCTGGCATGACAGTCAGTAAATGAGTAAGCCCTGAAATCTTTTCCTTTTTCATTATTGTCCTACAGAATTTGAATCTGTTAGGCTCCTATTATTTCACTGGATTCTTCTTCTTGAATAATATTAAAAAAAATTAATCAACTTAAATGCAAAAAAACGATGAAAGACAGTAAAATCTATGAAAATAATCTGTAGTGTCTCCACATATATTCGAGTTCACTTACATTTGATTTGGTTAAGTAAGCCCTTTCGATTAATTAATTTAACCAAGTCATGTGTAAAACAATAACTTTTATGTACCATTCGCTTTTATTATTGTGTGGTTTGTTTGAGCTGGGTGTATGACTGAGCATTGCTTAACACGCCTACGCACATCCTACGCATCCTATTCGCCTTAATATTGATCTCTTAAATATCACGATGACTGAGATATTTTCCTATGTATATATACGAACATTTTAATCTTATTCATTCACTCGCTAGTGTGCCTGCCAGGTCTGCTTGTGGTCTGCTATCCCTATTTGTGGTGTGCCAAAATAAACGTATTCAACACTTCGAGTTTACCTTCTGATTTATAAACCGTCAGACGCCATCTAGTAACGATTGTCTTAACGAACTAATTACAAAGATTAAGAACACGTAGAAATTGGCCACCACAAATCGACCAAAATCTAAGCAAACTAATTTCAAACCTAAGGAATAAGTGAAAAGCTCACATTTGCATGAAGTAAGAACTGATCTTGTTGTCAGTGCTTAAAATGGATGTAAAACATCAAAGTTTTCATGCGAATAACAACCATATCTAGCTGGTACATATTATAGAAGATATTATGAACATATAACTGCATACACTAATAAAGTATCTAGTTATGGAGTCTCTCTATATGCTATCAGTTAAAAATTAAACATTAAATTTTTCCAATTGGAGTTACACTATCATTAGAAACATGGATGTACATTAACACCGTTGGATACCGACCCAGTGGTCCAGAAGCTAGGCGTTTGCGAGCAAGACCGAAGCTCCTGGGTTAAAATCCTGCGAGTAGCAGGAGTCGTGGATGTGCACTGCTAATGAGTTCCATAACAGTCCGGTGCTTCAAGGTTTCTAATGGTAGTCTAGCAATGATTCAGTCATGATTTCAATGTGTAAACATTCAATCACGAATATCAACAATCAGGATGTTATACATTCGATTGAGTTACACAACATGATTAGTTAACAGTACTTTATCATACATGTTAGTGCAGTATCATAGATAATCTAGAGTGATAATCAGTTAAGGTTATCGTCTGAAGTTATACAAGACATATAAGTACCATGTTACATGAGTTCAAAAGTATGTAGCGATCTTGATTATTGTCTAATAAAATCAAAGTCAAATTGATATGTCACTCTTTGAATGAAAATAATAACAATTCGGTAACCGGAAAGAAGACAAAAAAACACAACTTAATATAAACAAAAACAGAAAATAAGTATAGCCGGCTTACTCGTATTCGACCATTTGATTCAGCTGGTGGATCCCAGTAAACAGTAACTGCAGCATTTGAAAGAGCTTGTGCATAAACATTCAACGGTGGACTAGATGGAGCTAAAATGAACAGAACCGAAACTTCAAATTATGTTTAAAAAACGCAAATAATTTAAAAGGGGTGTTGTATTTGACAAATGAAATGTGATTGAAATAGCATCAGTAGCAAAACAAATTCGCAGTTGAAATGGTTAAATGTTCGTCTCATGATCTGAATATCATGGGTGGAATCACTGACGGTATTATGTATTCATATGAATAAAAAGAACTATACTAAGATGAAATGACTATCCAGTTCTCCTTGATTTTCCCCTACACTTCAGACGAGATCAATTTGTAACGAGTACAACTCATGAATTGAACCATTCTCCCTAATCCATTCCTCAGTCAGACCTTTATTGTTTGCGTTTACTAAATTTACCATCATGACGGATTGTCTTATTACGCAACAACTTGGGTATCTAATTAAATACTGACAGTTATTCATCTTGTTTTTGACATATTCAGCAGTTACACATTTTAATTTACGAATAGATCAATTTTAGATCACCATTAGAAACCTGGAAGCACTGGAAGGCCGTTTCGTCCTGGTATGGGACTCATCAGTAGTGCACATCCACGACTACTGCACCTCAGAGGATTCGAACCCAGGACCTTCGATCTTGCTAGCAAACGTTTGACCTCTGGACCACTGAGCCGGTATCTAACACTCTTACGGTCTAACTTCGATCAAGCTAAGAATTAGTTGTTCACTAATTAATTAACTATTAATCAACTATGAACAAATTTTCTAACTTTCTAAAATTGTAATTCATACTAATGATTTTGGTACAAAGTGTCTTCTGGTTTATGCACCATAATTTGAGATTATCACATACACTGGGTTAATTTGATATTTCACTTTTCAGTGTAAAAGGTCGATACGGAAAACTTCCAATTTGAAAAAAAAAAGAAAGTCCTTGTTGAAGAATAGTCTTAGATACTTATAATTCTCATTCATAACCATTTACAATGAAATATATTCGAATTAGAAAGTTATTATCAATGATTTTCATAGCAAAGTTCATAAAAATAAATTGAATCATTTCTAATTTTATTTGTGTAACAATATTCTACTGATATTTACTTGAAAGTAGTAAATAACTGTCAAGTGAAATTATTTCAAATAAATTATTAAAATATATAAATTTAATGGATTCTTAAATAAAAGTTTGCATGAATGCTACAAACTGATTGCTCCTTTTTTTATTTCCAGAAAAAAAAAGAGAAATCTATTGTTGATAGACAAAAATGGGTCACCTTTTATAATGCACTCAAAAAGAAACCCGATTTACTTGAAATACAACAGGTACAATTTTTTCAAAGAGAAATTCAACCAAAAAAAAGAAGAAACCAGATGTTCAATTTACCCATACGCATATTAATTCAATCACTTAGTCTGTCAGTCTATCAGTCAATCAATCAATCTATCTTTACCTGTCTGTCTATCTTTCAATTTCACTGTCTATCTGAGGAGATTGCATGAAAAAACCATCAACAACAACTACTGTGGGAACCAGAGAGAAATAAGCATTTATATTTGCTATTGTCTTTCTTCAAAAATCTTTTTATACTGGGGAAAAAAAATCATAGCTGCAAAATTAAAACTCAAATAAAGATCATATTTATTTTGAAAGAATTTCAAATCTAAATAGAATATAAATAAAATCTCTGAGAATCATATTTTAAGAATATGAAGGAACAGCGAATAATGAATCATTGATCGAACATCTTGATCCTATTGACGATTACTATCAATTTCATAGTCTAGTTTGATTGAGTTCATTTACCTATTGCTATGGATTATTGATTCTGATTGAGCAGTTGAAGAAAATCTCGAAATTGAATATGTAGTATTGTGGTGTGAGCTACTTATAAGTAGTATATGACGCGAGTGTCAACGTAATGTCTGGCAGCAGAAGATTAGGGAAGATCAAAAAAGGAAGAGTGGGAACACAATGGAATTTGTATGAAACGCATGAATTGTGAACTGTCAGACAATGGATTGATGATGGACTGAAGATTTTCAAATTAACGGTTACGATATGGTTTTCCTATTTTTACTGAGTAACTCTGTAATTCTCGTTAAATACAATTCGGTTGCCCTCACCTGTGTTCTCCTTCACTACAGTATAACTGATTAACATCAGTGTTGTTTGAATTTTTACTTAAGAAATGTTCTAACTAAATGATATTTGAAATTTCTATTTAGAAATTGAACAATTTATAACAAAATCATTCATTAGTTATATTGCGGTGAATACTACTATCATAGCCTGGCTTGTGAGTAGTATGCAGTGGAGTAACGCTCATAAGTTACAGCTAAAGTGATATGTGTCACATACAGCAATGTATGACGACACTCAATCAAAGTGTTTCAAAGACTAGAAAACATAGGAAATTAAAAACAGCCAAGAATCTACTTGTTTTGCAAATGAAGTTTCAAGATATAGTGTACACAGTAAACTGTGTCTTCCATCTGATCTGGATGTCTTGATCTGGTGTTTTTCAATGATTTATTTAATTTAGAACAAGACTTTTTTCGTATAAAAGGAATGGATGTAACTTGGACAGCAGTGAATAAATCCGTTTTATCTAAGTTATATTCGTAACAGACTGATCACAATTTGGGTACCTGTGTTAAACATGATTCACTGTAAACCTGTTGTAGTGCGAACTAATTATAAGTAGTATATGACGAGAGTGTCAACGTAATGTCTGGCAGCAGAAGATAGGGGAAGATCAAGAAAGGAAGAGTTAGAAAACAATGGAATTTGTATGAATAGTGTTTGGATGAATAGTGACAATGGATTGATGTTTTGCAACAGGAACAGTCCAGTTCGATATGATGAACTGTTATTTTGCAAATGAACGATTTACGATATGGTTTTACAATTTTACTGAGTAACGCTGTAATATTCGTTAAATACAATTCGCTTGCCCCACCTGTGTTCTCCTTCACTACACTGTTACCTTACGGCATAATTCTCTTCAACACTGAAAACTTATAATCCTTTCTTGATCTTCAAATATCAAGGACGGACTAGTTAATCATAACTGAGTCAACAATTTCAATGTTTTTGAAAGTACGACTGAAAAATGAATAATTATTTTTCATATAACTAACACACGTGAATTAGTTAGTTGCGTTTTGTTTCGATTTAATTTAATTGAATTGAATTTTCTATTTTATATCAATAAACTTGAAAGAAACAAAAAAGAATTCATTTTATTAAATGGTTCATTGAACATTAAAAAAAAATGAAGTAACAAAATTACTAAAAATGAATTGTATTCTTGTATTGATTTGATTATTTGATGAGAAAAATAATGTTAACGATGATGTTAATTTCCTCTTGTTCAATGTTCAATGAATTTATTGAACAAGAAGAAGGAGAAGAAAAGATTTCGTAGATAATGATCAATTTTCAATAAAATGTATCCAATTATAATGATTGGAAAGATTTAAGAAGGAAATTTTTTTCGAAAAGAAAGAATAAATAAATTTATTCTCTTGTATCGATGAAGGTTAGCCAGAGATTCGGTTCACAAAAAAATTAACTCATACTAATACATGAAAGGTTAATCAATGTCCAAAATCTATTGTGCTTTTAGATGTTTCTTTAAGTTTTGTTGTAAAAAATACTTTTGATTTATATATAAACTCTTTGATTATCAGTTGAAAAACAATAATACGGTTATCTTAAGAATCATTCATACTTGTCTCTTACACCAGTTATTTGAATAGATAATTTACGTTGGGGAAGTTAGATCCTCAGAACTTTATTTGGAAAAGGTCTTAAGTTGTAATTTATTGCTGAAATTTTGATTTTTTATGTTTTCGTGCATAAGTCGCTTAGCTGACCTTGAGCTTACATTCCTCAATCGGAAAATCCTTGACTGTCACTGGTTGATGGATTATTTTAGTACGACATTGTGTGGCTCTCCCAGGGACGTTGCTATCACTGTGTAAATAAGCTTGATTTGTGTGTTTAGTAACCTTGAATTTTCTGGATGCTTATAGAATACATTCTTTACTTCATATCAAGACTTCTTGCTTTAGTTAGCGAGGCCTGACACAACAGATTAGAATAGCTATCATTTCACTCCGCAATATATATATATATTTAATGTATAATTTCTAAAGTGGTTGATTTCAAACTAGTATATTGTTTGAATCTGGCCGTATTTAACAAATCAAGAGTCTGTTTGTGAGGTCAAATGTTTTCAGTGAGATTTTGGATAATCAATGATGCGAAATCTCATACTTCAATCAAATATCTGTCTATTGTTTTCTGATGTTCAATGGATTTCCAAGTAGTTGTATGAGATCATCAAGTCTTGAGAAAATTGATGATTTCTGTAGAATTTGTAAACAAAACTATTCACGTTAAGTATGTTGAAATATTACCTATGAACTACTCAGTTCATGATGGATCCCGTGCAGAACTGAAATATTTTAGATTGACTTATCAATCAATAGTCAGTTTTGTCTAATACTTCTTTAGTGTTACATGTCACTGAAATCACGAAACAATAAAAACTGTCAATCGAAAACAATCAATTCAGTGGATATGTGGTCATACAGTCTTGAATGTTATCTATTTGAAAATTGTTCTGTCACGTAAGCTACCACTTTCTCGATTAACTAACATACATCAGATGGACATCAAATGGACAATCATCACTCACTCACATGATCATGTCACTCATAATAAAAGAATTCAATGCATATTATACAACCAATATACATACATAAACTAGAGTAATATTTTCTTTTAAATGACTGAATAATAAATTTCTCATTAATTGACTTTTGTAATTATCAATTATTAATGGAAATGATTACTAATGTGACAGCACATAGAGAGGGAGAGAGAAACGAAAGAAGTCTAACCAGAAGAAATCTATTTAACATAAACCATTTTTAAATGAACGAATTATTTGTTTTTTTATCCGAAAAAAATATATATATAAAATGAAATTAGTCTTTGTCTCACGGTATAAATATACCAAAACTAAACTATGCTGATGGCAATTCATACAAAACATTGGAATCAATTTAACGTGAATGTATGGATAAATTTTTTTTTCTAAAATGGAATTATCGATAACCAACCGAATATTATTGATTAGTATGTTGGAAAAAAAGAGGATTTGGTCTATAGTAGAAATGGTTATAGATTATCTGTAGAATGTGTAACTACTACTGGGCCTATCTAGGCGCAGTCACAAGATAACATGTAACGAAAGGTAGGGAGTAGTAGTAGTAGTAGTAGTAGTAGTAGTAGTGTTTAGTGTGTTGGACTTATGATTAGGATGAAAAAAAATCGATTGGAAAATTTAATGCTTTACTAATATTGATAATTTTAGTGAAACAATGTTTCATTTAACATTAGTCTCTTCAAGATGATTGTATTCTAGGTTAATTAAACAAAAGAAAGACTAATGACAAGAGTGACATCCGTTTGCTGACTAAAGGACGAATATACTGCGTAGTAGTACGCTCCGTCCAACTTTATGACTGTGAAACATAGCCAGTCAGAATAGTAGGTTGATAGTATTCGATCATAGATGTCTTTGAAGCATTACTCTTATATCGTGGGACAACGAAGTAAGCAATGCTGTTGTTAGGAAACGAGTACTAAGTAAGGATGGCAGATCAATAGATGAAGTGGTGAAACTTCATCAGTTGAGGTGGTTGGGACATAAGTTACGTATGCCTAACTACCGACGACCTCGACGAGCCATGTTTTGTGGTGTAGGAGTAGGTTGGAAGAAAGTTAGGGGCGGCCAATCCAAAACATCGCACAAATCCATGAGATCACTGACAAGTGGATTAAGCCATGTCGGTAGGTATTGATTACCTGGTTGAAGTCTGCGGGACGAAAGCCACCAATGGTTGGAGACCTTGAACGACATGGCTCAAAATCGTTTGCAGTGGCACAGGTGCATCCACTCTTTGTATTCCTTTAAAGTCTAAACTTCAGAATTCCTCGTCACCTTTTTCTTTTTAAGTTTATTTCACTAGATCCTACTACTTGAATAATTTCTTCGAACCCTAATCTCTCCGATTACTGCTAATACTTTTACTACATCTACTACTATAAGATGTCAATTGACAATTGCCTCTCTGTGGTAATGTTGTATGGCAACTTGAACTGATGTACATAGGTATGAAGTTCTACGTTGCAGTTAATTGATTGGTTGATTATGACAAGAGTGAAAATAAATTTTATTGAAAACTTCAGTTACATTTTAAAATATTTCTTACAGTGTAAAATGAATCCGTAGCCAATCAGAATGTAAGTGGTTAGAGTGTAAAAATGTGAATACTTACATGCACTAAGCTAACTAACGTGAAGAGATATAAAGGGAAAGTTAGAATAAGATCAAGACATGTTAGTTCTATATTTCCCTAATTTAGACATTTGGCTATTAAGTTCTTTCATTTTAAATTCCAAAAATCATTAAGTAACACTAAGTAATTTGTAAACCATGATTTATATTCTCTGATGTTCTCATGTTTTTTTATTTTTCAGCTTTTACTTGACTTTTAATAAGATATACGTAAACTGTCGCCGCATTAGGAACTTCACACAAACATTCAGTCCACTTGAGGCACCTACCTCAAACATTTTGTACTTTTGTAGTTTTGTTGAGCTTGTATGTGCAAGTATGTTTGGGTACTGCTTACCGCCTACTCACATAGTCATTCAACTACTAGTTTGAATGACTAATCGCCCAGATAATTCGATAACAGTATTACCTATGTTTACATTTGTAATAAATGCGATAACTGGACCAATCATTATACATATTTTGAATAGTAAAGTGAAGCGTGACAACGACTCGCGTTTTTTGGGGTAACTGTTGACAAGACGAAGTTTACAAATACGTCGAGTACACACCGCCACACAGTTAGTTGATCAGTCATTAAAGCATAACTTCATCAATACGCTATTAATTGGACAAGAGACTGAATAGTGGAAGTCATTAGACAACATTCAACTGTAGAACATATAAAACTACTTCATACAATCATTTCTATTTGAATTTTCACACAAAAATTGTCAACTTACCAAGTTCTTTTGTTAAGAATAAAAATGGTTGATTAGGCAATGATGTATCACCGTCTGCACCGACAGTTCTTGACCAGATTGTATATTCAGTGAAAGGTTTCAATTGACTTAAAGAAATCATTAATACATTATAAAGTGTATTGGAATTTGTTATTTCATTATTCTCTTGATTAAGTATATCAGATTGTTGCGTTGGTTGACGTTGACGTGAATGATAATCAGTCAATGAAGAACGACTGATATTTTTCAAATATTTCGGTAACATAATTACATTCGGTCGAGACTAAATGTAAAAAGTAATCAATACAATTTAAATAAAGGAAGATTATTGATGCGAACAAATGATTACCATAGAAATTATGGAGTTGCATCATCATAGTACATTACAATATTGATATTAAGGGGATAATTATCGAAATATAACAAAAACTTTGACTTATTGATCGATTCTAGTGTGTGACCCTCCTTGCTAGTGTGCTTCTATATATATTCAAATCACAAATCAAACTCAGAATTTTCAAGTGTCATGGGGACTATTTCAACTTTAAACCGCTCAGCTTTTAGCTGGCTATTTACATGTTTAATATCAAAAATAATCTGCGATATTACATGATCACGTTGTGATGATAGAGTTGAACGATTGCTTCATCACTAGATGACAACACAGTGATCAGAAAATGATACATTCACCATAAAATTCGAAAGTCTTCAGTTCAGTAGTCTCCTCCTATAGGGTGACGATTATATAGTGTTGACGATGTGCATACTAAGACAAGACAGAGTACTGTTTAACTTTTACTGATCGTCCGAAAAAAAATGCATGGGATTAGTTTCAAACATTTTATACAAATAAAATCTCATGACTAGTTTGTCTAAAATAGTAGTGTGGTGCTGTGGTGCGAGCTACTTATAAGTAGTATATGACGTGAGCGTCAGCGTTATGTCTGGCAGCAGAAGATCGGGGAAGATCAAGAAAGGAAGAGTTAGAAAACAATGGAATTTGTATGAAACGCATGAATAGTGACAATGGATTGATGTTTTGCAACAGGAACAGTCCAGTTCGATATGATGAACTGTTATTTTGCAAATGAACGATTTACGATATGGTTTTCCGATTTTACTGAGTAACCCTGTAATTTTCGTTAAATACAATTCGTTTGCCCCACCTGTGTTCTCTTTCACTACATTTGGTGTCGCTGCCTACGCAAAGGATGAAGATTCCATGGCCGAAGGAGTTTGAGGATGGAGATGTGCGGAGCTTCCTGAAGGACTTTGAGGCCGTGGCGGAGCTGGTGGAGGTGAAGGAACCCAAGGCGAAGTTGGTGGTGCTGGGGACGCTGCTGAGAGGAAGGGCGAAGGCCGTATATGACAGCCTGGACGGTGCTGGCGGGAAGACGTCATGGGAGACGGTCATTGAGCGGCTGATGGTCGAGTTCGACAGCCCGGTGGACAGGGAGGAGGCGTTGCAGAAGTTCCGGTTGAGTATAACAGGAGAGAAAAAGTCACCGAATGATTTCGCTCTGTGAAAGGCATCCAAACCTGGAGAACCTGCATGGGTTAGTCCTTGGGGTAAAGGTAGACATGGTTGGCACATAGAATGTTCAGTCATGGCTAGTGATATTCTTGCAGATACTCTTGATATACATAGTGGTGGAGTAGATCTAAAGTTCCCACACCATGATAACGAACTGGCTCAGTCTGAAGCTTTTTTCGGACATTCTCATTGGGTTAATTATTTCCTTCATTCTGGTCATTTAACTATTTCTGGTTGTAAAATGTCCAAATCCTTGAAAAATTTCATAACTATTCGTGATGCACTTAAAACGCATTCAGCTCGACAAATACATTTGATATTTCTTCTACATTCCTGGGGTGATACATTGGATTATAGTGCTGATACATTGGCTGAGGCTATGGGTTTTAAGAAACAATTAGTTGATTTCTTGTACACTTGTTCGAATATTCAGTTTTTGGCAAAGCAATCTTTATTGAATAATAATAATAATAATCACACTTTGGAAGAAACTGAAACTTGTGACTTTAAACAAACTCTTGTGGATATACACCATAAAGTATATCATGCATTATGTAATTCCTGTGATACTCGATCAGTCTTGGACTGTATCAAAATGTTGATGTCAGAAGCTGATTCAAAATTATTCAATCGCATTGAACCAAACAAGTGTATTTCCAATCTAGCCGATGATGCTTTTGCTTCAAGTCGTTTTATCCTTCAACTATTTCGTATTTTTGGTAGTAGTAGTAGTAGTAGTAGTAGTAAGTACTATTTTTAAACAGATCAATCGAAAATAGAGAACAGTCGTACGTAGACTACAACTAAATATATAAAAAAATTCACTGAATAAATATGGCTGTACTGTTGCTTATACACACGAACAAACCAGAAATGGCAACAACAATATCAGTTAATCAATAACTTACATCATCTAAATTCGATGATGATGATAATAATAATGGTTCAATTTGATCAATTGGTTGTTGATTCATTAAAAGACTTGCTTGATATGGTAATTCATATAAAGTTTGATTTGTAAATTGACTACTTGGTAACCATAAAATTAAATAATTTCGTATTGAAGACAATGGACTAGTGCTTGGTTGTAATGCCAAATGAACATGTGTTGCACTTAATTCGATTAATTGAAAATCACCTGGTGGATTAGGTAAATCTAGCCGAAATAAAACAAAAACATGAGTAGACAATGATGAATAAATGAGGAGAAAAAAAAATGAAAAATAGTGATTAAAATTTTACAGAAATTCTATAAAAACTTAAAGCAAAATGACTAAAATAGTACAGTTCTGGTTAGTGACTAGCAAATAGTAGACTGAACAATATAGTTATACACATTTGAAATCATCACTCAATCATTGTTAGACCACCATTAGAAACCTGGAAGCACTGAATGACGGGCGTTTCGTCCTGGTACGGGACTCATCAGCAGTGCGCATCCACGACTCCTGCACCCGCGGGACTCGAATGCAGGGCCTTCGGTCTTTCGCGCGAATGCCTAACCTCTGAACCACAAGGCCGGCCTCCAACAGTGTTAATGTCTAACTCTGATTGATCCGGGGATTTTGCGCGAGCTCACCCATTTGTCTTGGGCAGTTACTGCCTACACCTGACAGGGATGAACCCCAATGGTCCCGTCTTGTCACTACAACTCCGAAAAATTCTTCACGCAGATAGTTACTAGTGAGCAGATTTTACGATATTTTCAATTAGAGTTATGGAGATTAGTGTGTTTTACAAATTTGAAATCATCAATCAACCACTGTTAGACCGCCATTAGAAACCTGGAGGCACTGGACGGCTCGCTAGTGACTAGCTCCGTGAGAAATCTTCTCTGTGGGAAGTCGTGACCAGTGACGTTCAACCTGTTCGGGTGCAGACAGTAACTAAAAAAAAGACAGTGTATGAGGTCGCGCAACTCCGTGAATTGATGAAGTCCGACAATAACACTGTTAGATACCGACTCAGTGGTTCAGAAGTCAAACGTTCGCGCGCAAGACCGAAGGTCCTGGGTTGGAATTGTGAGAGTTGCAGGAGTCGTGTATGTACGTTGCTGATGAGTCCCATACCAGCACGAAACGGCCTTCCAGTTCTTCAGGTTTCCGACAGTGGTCCAAAATCGATCGATTCATGATTTTAAATGTGTAAAAATAAGTGCCAAAACTCATTGCTTATTCTCATAGTTATTATGAAAAGTTCCGATAACGTAAGTTTAAACGTATCTGAGGTAATGCTTGACAATAAATTATTCAGAATAAAAAAGTGTGATAATGTTTGATATTGAAAAGAATAAAATTATTTCGTTCGATTTTCACAAATTTTTTCAAAAAAAAGGAAAAAAACAATTTCCCAATGTTTACTTTTTACAATAATTTGTACATCATGATAAATACGTCCCATGGTTGATTCAGCTATACATGTAACATTGAATGATTCCATTAAATTGGTTAAAATAAATTTTGCTGTACCAGGTGGTTGTTTATTCAAATGTTCACTAGTAGTGGATAGTGGTTTTTGATCACGAAACCATTGAACATGTGGTACAGGTGCACCAACAGCAGTACAACTTAATGTTAATTGACCACCTGGTGGTATTATTTGTCTTGGTGTTGGGATATTAGTAAAATGTGGTCGAAATCTTTTAGCTGTTAACAAAAAAAGACAACAACAACAGAAAATCATAAAAAATACGGAATGAAGGATTTTTTTCTTTTGAAACCATGAATCGATCAATGTTAGACCACTATTAGAAACCTGGGAGCACTGGACGGCCGTTTCGTCCTGGTATTGTACTCATTAGTGGCAGTGCGCATCCACGACTTCTGCACCCCGCTGGACGAAACGACCGTCCAGTGCTTCCAGGTTTCTAATAGTGGTTTAAAACTGATCGATTCATGGTTTCAAGAAAAACTTAACAATCTTCACAACCCCGTAATGGAATGAACGATTGCTAAGAAGAAATTCCCCTGAATGTTATGATAATTGAAAAAAGGAATTGTGTGTGCGTGTGTGTGTTGGGTATAGTTGATTCATTCCAGTTTGGGGGTTGATTAGCAGAGCTCATTCACTTGAAAAAATCTCATCAAACTCAATACTCTCTAGATTTAAGTATTTCCTCCGATTAAATCAACATATTTCAATAAAAGAGCGAAAACATCTAAAACATTGAAATGTTGTTCATCATATATCTAATAGATACAAATGTAAAATATTTTTTGAACAATAAATGCAGATTAAGGCAGTTAGTTAGTGTAGCAGTAGCCTTTGCAGAAGTAGGCTTCAACATATTAAAGGGGAGAAAACAGAATCCTCTGATCAAACAACACTACATGCATCAACTAAATCTACACTTGATGGAGAAGCCACAGAAGATGTAGGCAACATCGTTGATGAACAAGTTGGATCTGATGAACATGTAAAGATAGGGATCTACAAAAGAATGGTAGAATTCCTACAATTAAACAATATCTGGAACTTAAAACAACTGTCAACCATCACCGAAGTCAAGATTTTCAGTAGAAATTTCAAGAAAGTTCTAATGTATGAGAAGGAAGCTTGAAAAACTAACAAAGCCTTCATCTATAAGATACAAGTACAAAATAGTTTGGATCCCCTAGCTTGACACCACCAGTAACAACCTACTGTGAGAGGGAACAAACAGATTTTCTGTTGAGGAATAAATTAAGAAGAAGCGCTGAAGGCGGATAAGACACATTGTGGAAACCACCCAACTGCGTCACGGCAAGCCCTCATTTGAAACCTTTAAGGTCAAAGGAAAAAAGGTTGACCGAAGAGCAAATTACGCCAAAAAAAAAAGAGACAGACATGAAAAGCGTGAACTGTAACTGGGTAGAACTAGAAAGGAAGGCTCAGGGCAGAGAGGGTGGAGAACACTGATCAGTGGCTTATGCTCTGTTGGGATTAACAGGCGTAAGTAAGTAAAGCAAGTAATTGCGTAACATTCTTCAGCAAAATTATCTTAAATTATTTGCATATACAAGGCTAAAATTAATATACTAAATCGAATCTAGCATCCTAACAGCAAAATAGAATCCGTCTCATTGAACAAAGTCGACTTAAACTTACACATAACATACCTAACATCATATCAATAAGATAGAACTTAGATCATTCAGGTCTTATTATAGCGTACAAAAATTATTCACCAATAAGTTCATAAACCTCCTAGTGCATATTCTCAACTTCAATTTCTAAGCCTAAGGAGAAATAACTGTCCTGTATTTGATGAATGTTCAGTGATTGTTAAAATGAAATTATTCCATGATTATATGAACATTGAACCTCTTTACTCATCTATTCGTTTAGACATTTATGACAGTGTATACAGCATTATTTCATACAGAATTCAAAATATACAAACAACCAGTTAGTTCTTTATTAAAATAAGCAATTCGAAAAAAAAGTTTTTAAGTACCAGAAACTAAATTACTTCCTAATTACTTTACAGCTGCCGTATTAACTGAGAGGGATTTAAAAAATTAAAAATTTATTCTCTTTATCACATATAATGGACTAAAGGTGAATTAATCACAAACTTCAAATGGCCTATTCTATGCCTGGAATGATTTAATTTCCTATTGTCTTCTAAAACAATGAATTCTGGAGAAGGTTCCAAAGATATCAACTACTAAAATCAAGTACTAAATACCCACCTGTTGATAACCACTTACTTCAACGAGTAGAACTTGTACTTCAAAACATGATTAGAGCTCTTTTCATTCAAACATTTACAAAAGAGTTAGAGCAATCAACAGATTCACATTTCTCAAGACCAACTACATCTCTTTCAATCTTTCTCATTGAAAGTTAGCTCTATCAGATAGGCAATTTAGAATATGTGTACACGAAATACACGAAATTCTATTCTATTATCTTACTGTACAAATAAATTTTTGAATTTTATTGAATCTTAAAATCACTTAGACAATTTCATCAACTTCAAACTATTATTATCATTATTACTATTATTAGCATTGATGTTCAAGTGTCCAATTTCAGCTTCATTTTTGTTTAAATGTATTTATAATTACAGGTTATAAAAGATATTTTTATGTTTGACCATTTTTAAATATAGACTTTTTTTAAAACCTAAAAATTTATATAGTTGAGTAGATTATCGAGATTAGTTTTTATCAAAGAGGATGTGCATTATTTGTGAAATGGTTAAAGACCACTAGAATACTAGATAACTATACCATCTTAGTTCAAGATACTCTGTCATCAGATATCCACAATGATACTAATAGATAGACTCAAATTTGCAATCATTGATCAGATTATCTCAACTAATAAACATTATCTCATTGATAGGTTGGATTAACCAGACTTAGGCCAGAAGATAAGCGTACACCATTGGCCAAGACTTTGTTTCATTTTCTAAAGGAACATATGCCCCATTTTTTAAAGTATATACGAGTGTATATAGATTCCATCTTAGGTCTTAGTCACTAAAGCTTCCTCATCATCCAACTGGCTTAGTTCGAGATCGGAAGCTGATATCTCAGTAATAAACCTAAACAGCCACGCAATATGACAGTCAAAAGTTCAGTTCAGATAAACAATAATACATCATGAAATGATTGGCTTTTGAAATGCAGATAAACAAACTCAAATACAATGGGTTAAACAGTGTTGTTTGCAATAATACGTGATGATATATGGTTCAATCCAGCAAAGAGTCTCCAACAGATACTACAGGTAAAACTCCACCTGGAGACCCTCTGAGGTTACTGCCAGTCCCGAACCCGGATAAAGAAAAAGGGTTGAACATAAGGTTAATAATCCCATCCCTTAGAAAACTAACTCGCTAATAAAATGCTCACCAGAGAAAAATCATTCAAACCATTCAAACTCTACCCTGAAGGGTTAGAAGGTTTTCATTTATAAAAAACTCATGACTGCACATGATGAAAGCCAAGTTTCTTCAAAAAATATCACCAAGAGACTAATGTCTCTTTTGACAATCAACGCAACCATTAATAATACAGGCACATGAATAAAATCTCAAACTTTCGAAAACAAAAAAACAGAAACTCTTGAAAAAAAATAATCAAACGCCCTAATGCATATTCACACAAATGTTTTACAAAATAATAAAGGCAATCAGACATGCAATGTGCTTGTTCTGCTCGGCAAGCACCTATAATACCAAGATGAGTGGTGATTTTTATATCACTTTAGAAAACTTATATGCATATTGTGGCCATAAATTTGTTGTTTATTTTTCAAACAATGACAAAGCAAACTATGGCAAGCAATAAAGCAGGCAGGCAGGCAGGCAGGCAAGCAGGCACGTAAAGTATTTTTGCAAGCAACACACATAACGCATTACACCATTTAAACAAAATTCATTGAAATTCATTTCGAATGGAATTCATTGATTGCATCAAATCTAGGCACAGCAATTCAATTAGGTGAATGGTAAATTTTCATATCTAATTACAAATTAAAATATGCGCATTTATAACAAACATATGTACAAATAAAATGTTTATGGTTTAAAAACACATACTACTTGGTGCCAACATTTGTAGACTAGCTTCAACATTTTCTATGTTATAAGAAATAAAAGATAATATGGAGAAATGTTTCCTTGAAAATGATATTATTACTTTGTTATGCAAGAGTGAAATAATCAGTGTTAAAAAAAAATTTCGATTCATATCTTGCACGAATATGTATGTATATATATAAACTTGATTTATAAAATAGTTTGGATTAATCTATTCAGTTGGTGATATTTGTATGCATTCTGTGTAGATTGTTCAGATAAAGCCAACAGGATAGAATCAAAATACATGAAATGTGGTTGCCACCAGAGTCTAGAATATGATTTTTATTCTATTTCCAACTCGTCAACTACATGTACCTTGTATCACAGAGTTGATATCCTCCACTAGACAACTTGAATCCATTGACCTTCTCTTCAAATATCACCACATTAGGCACTTAGCTAATGAGTTCAGGTAGCTACTCACCCACTTACAGAATGGATGGACTTTGGCTTATGGTAAAATCGAACTTAGGATGCGTGAACCCAATGTCTTCCTTGTTGAATGACACCTACTTATATTGTTCATCCCATGGTCAGTCACATCAGTGACTAACTCTACAGTTTGACTTGACAGTCGCTAAATTACTTTCTTCTTCATTCTAGATCAGTTATCATTGTGCATTGAGACAACTGTTTTTCGGGAATACATGACAAGAAGGTCATTTTTAAAGAGGAAGGCACTGGGTCCAAGTACGAGGTGCTAAAATTAAAATCCTAATCATTGAGATTATTAGCCACAAATATATGTTGAAACAAATACTGAATTTAACTATTAGATACCATAAAATCTCAGACCAATAGCTTAACAGTTAAAACAGTATCATTGTTCTTTAATTATTATGCTCCAGTTTAAATTATAGGTTAGGATACTTAAATTATTGGGAGATTAAATATTTGTTCAATAAAATAAAAATTTAAGCAAAATCAAACAAGACTAACTTTAAATTATGGATTAATTTTTTCTAGACAATCAGTGAAAACTGGAAAACACTTAATAGCTGTTTCATCTTAATACAGGACCTTTTACCAGAACTCATCTCTACAAACCTGCTAAGGATTAAACATATGTCCTCTATCTAAGCCTTGAGAATCGCTTGACAATCCATTTAACATTGTCATGAATTCTTTACATCAGTATGCATCGTCTGCACATATATCACTATCCCTAATTTCAACAGTTATTTCCTACAGTTTGGCAAGAAGACGTGACTAGTTCACTGTGACACAACTACTCATCAGCAGTGTCAAAAAATTATTGCAGTACCATGGATCTGCAGCAGATAGCTATCTAACAGTCTAAAAGTTAAGAGCTAATCACGTTGGGGTCGTTGACAGGTACTGCCACAGAATCTTATACTGTCCGTTGTATCTTTGTTTTCATTTGTTGTCAAAGACCAGTTTGTGGTGTCCATTATGAAAATACTGTTATTCACTTACATGTGAAATTCTCCAAAAAAATCTCAATAACTCAAAAGTGATATGTACCACCATACTAGTCAATATTAGGATTAGAGTTTTAAGCATTAACGTATCACAAACATACAAACATTCTACCGTTAATGAATTTTCAATTAAAAAAATAAAGTGTACATTTAGCGTAATAGAAAGAAATACGCTTCCTCACTCAATACAGCTATAAACTAACTATATTCCATGTGTGTTTTATTTTTTTTTTAAATTAAAATAATTTGAAATATCATAGTAGTCTGATCAACTTACCACGAACAAGTAGATTATCACCTGATGATAAACGTGTACCTTTGTCATTTTTTGCTTCACATTCATATTTCCCCTCATCTTCTTCAATTAAATTTTGTATACGTAAATTGCCAACATCTAATTTGTGAAAGAAAAGAGTAAAAAAAAAAGTTAGTCTCGGAATTTGATTGGTGCAGAAACATTACAGTTACATTACAATTTAACATTAATGATTAGAAATAGTGTGCAAGTGATAGAGCGGGAGAGAGAAAAAGGTGTTATGAAATTTTTGCCAGTCGTTAACATCGAAGTAACATTAGATAATTGACGTGCTATTTTACTGACAGTGGAATGAATTTGTAAATGTGTGCTGATGAACTTTCGGTTCAAAAGACAAATATTCCATCTGGATTATGTAAGGCTCCTGGGTTCGACCCATGAATATGTCTGATCCTTCCTTATTTTGAATAACTTCTCAGTTGGGAGGCGATTTCATCAAGAGGATTTTTGAAAAGCAAAGAATACAGTCAACAACTATTTCATTCTGTTTCAGGAATGTGTTCATCATTATTATGTCCATCCACTAAGCATTCAACCATACAAAAAATTTGAGGATTTTGTGTCTTGAACAAAACATTCTACACTGAAATAAAATGAGTACCTCTTTTAACCACACTAGTCCCTATTTCAAACTTCAGTTGTTGCATATTAGAACACTAAGACTATACAACACAGTTATTGATGGCATCTGTTTTCTATATATATCAAATTCTCATTTCTACAATTGAAAAAATATCAATCAACAACAAAATCAGGATTTTCAATACAAATGTCAAGACAGGTATACTGTATCGAGCGGAAACTTGGATAGCTACGAAAGTCATCATCCAGGAGATGCAAGTTTTCATTAACAGTTGTCTACGCAAAATACTTCGGATTCGTTGGTCACACACCATCAGCAACAACGAACTGTGGGAGAGAACAAACCAGATTCCAGTGGAGGAGGAAATCAGTAAGAAGCGGTGGAAGTGGATTGGTCAGACACTACGAAGAGCACGCAACTGCATCACTAGACAACCCTCTCTCTTTTAACCCTCAAGATCAAAGGAAAAGAGGAAGGCCAAAGAACACATTACGCCGGGAAATAGAGAAAGACATGAGAAAGAACTGAAAAGGGATCCCAGGACAAAGTTGGCTAGGGAAAACTGTTCGGCGGCCTATGCTCCGTTGGGGGTAACAGGCGTAAGTAAATAAGTAAGTAAGTAAGTAAGTAAGTAAGTAATTCTCATTTGTATTTATAATTTCATGAATATATTCACTTTCATCAGAATTAATATTTTCCTATAGTGTCAACAATTGATGAAATGTCTAGCACCTGACATAGGTTAGTTTCAGTAGTCACAACGTCTTCCTAGAACTCCATATATTTCCTCTCGAACTCAGTCACGTGATAATTATCAGTATGGAGATAGTTCACTCTCACTGAAGTCATGAACTGAGCTAGGTACAACCGTCATCGAAGTCGCGGAAACACTGAATGGCTGTATTAACTACTTCCAGTAAGGTTTTGAGTGCCTGACTGCTGAGAAGTCTCATTACTAGGACGAAACGAGTGTCCAATGTTTTCATATCGTTTCCACTAGCGGTCTAACTTAGATTAGTTCATGATTTCAGTGAGATTTTTACAATCTCTAAAGCCTCATACTGATGAATAATAATAATATGATTTATACCAAATCAACCTTGATTGTAGATCGTTTTAGAATTCAAAACAAAAATTTCTTTTAGTCTTGCTATGTTCATTAAGCTAAACAGTTTAATTAAAGAGTATTAATTATCGTTCTAAATAACACCACATGAAATAATTGCACAGAAAAGCACGTTTCTTCGTTATTCTATAAACATTAATAAAGTTCCATGATTTTTCAAATGTAATCGTGTGATCTGTTCACTTCAATGTTAGTACATATTCAGGTTTGTGTAAAAGTGATGTTAGTTTGAGTTTGGTCAACGATTATTGATTTTTTTCAGTAAACTAAGAAAAAGAAGCTACTTATTTCAGAGAATTATTTCATCCATCGTATCACGATGATCAAATTTATCGATTAAAAAATTCTATTCATTCAAATCAAAATCAGAATGATATTCAAAAGAAAATACCATTAACCATTGTTTTTTCTACTAAGTAACGATTAGTTGCGATTTTAAACATTGAACACTGATCAATGCACATTACATTAAAAGAACAGTAGTAATAATAATAATAATACTAAGTCATAAAGATTCAAACTTTGATATTTTAATCTTTGACGGTGGTTTTCTTTTAAAATAAAATAAAGTAGTAAATAGCCAAATTGTTTTATCGAACAAATAAAAATATCTTTCGAGAAAACAAAAAAACAGTAAAAAATAATACAACTCATCGATGGAATAAAAAATTTACAATCCATTTAAATAATGAATTAGCTGAGTACAAAATAAAGTGACATAATTAATATCACTGGTGAATTGATGACATTAATGTGTGCGTGTTTGTGGACGAATATATCTATATATACATTCGACAGTCTCATTTAATGTTCACCTCAGTTCCGTTCGCTCTCTCTCTCTGTGTCTCTCCTCTGTACTTACTCACTCACTCACTCGCTTGTTTACTTTGATCCTTTTTGTTCAGTTGTGTTTAAAATGCAATAGATTTTTCATTTATCAAATGAAAAAGAATAGTAGTAGTATCATCTGTTGAATTTTCAATTCCGCCA